ATCTTGTTCAGCTGCAGCTGTGGGCATCAGTGTATTGCCACCAATCACTCAGGCAGTAGTGCACTACTATAAAATCCTCTGAGACACACAGAGAACCTTTTCTGTGATTTATTTTTTATAATAGCTATTATGTTGGCTGCATTCTAAAACAATAAAGATTGTCGAGATTGTTATGTGCCTGGGCTCCCGTTCAGTGGACTTCAGTTTTAGTGAGTTAGTGAATGTACATTTAAAAATACTAGGGAATCTTTAGCGGTGTGCTTAGTCTATAGTAAATAACATACGGTCATGGATATTCTTATTTGATCTGAAAACCTTAGGGAATCTTCAGTTGCATCTTAGCCCATAGCCAAATTATGTAATCAGTAAATTATTCACAGTACCAAATGCTCTTTGAAAGGGTAGATAATAGCAGGACGGGGAAATGGTTTTAAGTTGAAGGAGGGAAGATTGAGTTGGATATCAGGGGGAAGTTCTTTACTATGACAGTGGTGAGGTGCTGGAACAGGCTGCCCAGAGAGGTTGTGGATGCCCCGTCCCTGGAGGTGTTCAAGCTAGGTTGGATGGGGCCCTGGGCAGTCTGGTCTAGTATTAAAAGTGGAGGTTGGCAGCCCTGCCTGTGGTGGGTGGCTTGGAGCTTGGTGATCCTTGAGGTCCCTTCCAACCCTGGCCATTCTATGACTCTATGATGATGATTCTCTTACCATCAAAGTAATTGCAAGATTTTAATGTTCCTGAGTGACTTCAATGTCTTAACAGTTTCAAGGTTTGAGTTTTGCAGTCTTGAAATACCTTGTCTTTTAACAACTTCAGAGTGACTGTGATACTCTTGTTTCTCTGAATATCATTATGAAAAAACTTTGTGTTGTACTGCTTTCTTATATTTTTATATTGCCTATAAATGATTGTGCAGGACTTTACTGTTGTAAGAAACAAATACATGAAGAGTACTGAGGAAGTTCCTGTCCTAGGTGTGTTGTGCACTGGGGCATAAATGGTAAGCAGGAGGTGAACAAAATCAGGCAGAATCTGAGTGAGATATTAATACACAGAAACTGTTGAGCATGACAAAAAATGTTATAATCTTGAACAGTTAAAAAACAAACCACTAGATGTAACATTAGTGAAGGCACTGTGTCAAAGCAGTCTCTCAAACAGTACAAAGACAAATTCAGATCTTGGAGTAATATTTGAACTGCTGTTTTCTTGTCCTGGATCAGATCAAGGATCCATTCGTCCCAGTATCTTATTTTAGGCAGAAGGTCAGTGCAAGCCTTTGTAGAAATATATTGACTGTAAAAGCTCTGTGCAAGCTGATCTTTCCCCTGTGGTATCTTTCATTTCTGGATAACAAAAGTTCCCTCAATCAAAGTGTAAAGATTGATCAGTTTTGTCAGTCACTGATGTAGATCTGTTCTCCATGAGTTTGTTTAATCCATTGTTCTCCATTTGTCTTTTTTCACTTCCATAACAATCAGGAGACATAAAAAAAAAAAAAATAATGCAGCTTTTTGTATGCAGGACTTGGATTTCTCCTTTAATTTGCTTTCCCTCTTCATTGACTGTATGCTGTTGTGCCCAGAGCAGGTTAAGTATTATCAGGAGGAAAAAAAATAAATAAAAATTTTGTACTACCAGAAATTCAGCACCTTGTTAGTATGACTAGGGAAGCTTTTTGTTTTCTCATGGTTTAGTTTTCATTTGCCAAATATTGAATCTTAGCGTACAAATCTATCCATTATTTGGTGGTAGGTGGATGGTTGTACTGGATGATCTTGGAGGCCTTTTCCAACGTTGGTGATTCTATGATTCTAGTGGGGTAACTGAAATACAGTGCAACAGAAAAAAAAAAAAAAAGAGAAGTCCTTTGTCTCCTTTTCTTACCTAACCCAGTTTCTAGTGTTCTGGTACTTTCCCATTGTACTTTCAATTTAAAGAATGTGTAAAGTGACTGAGATGTCTAGTATCTGGTGGAGCTGTGCTTCACTTTTCTTTTCATCTTCTGATTTTGCATCACTTTAGGCATTTTTTTGCCCCTTTTTGAGGATTTAATTAATGATAATTGCCAAAATCATGTGAAGATGTTTGAAATAAGATCGTTATGCTTGGGAAGAAATGTACTTGTGTTCACAAATATAGGAGAAGTTGTTAAAGAATGCCATGATTTCTATTGTGTTCTTGAAACGTAGGAGAAGATGGGCCGATATTTTATCCCAGTTCAACACAGTCCATTATTTGAAAATAAATGAAATACATGATATCATCTGACAGAGTTTTCAGTTCTTAAAATCGCTACTTCCAATTTACTGCCTCGTTCAGAAGTCTTCTTTAATCCTATTTCTGAATGTAAGATTGGTTTCTTAGGCTTCAGTTTTGAGCAGAAGTAACTTTTATGTATGTACAGATGTTTGTATATTCATTTATTAGAAGCGTTTACCCTTTGGCTTTTTAATATATAAATACAGCACTTGCAAAAAGCCCATGCAATCTTTCTATTAAGAAAGTGTGTGCAAAACTGGAACACTGGATAAATGATCTGTTTCTTTCTTAAGATTTTGTGATTGCAATAAAATGTTTCATCACATTGAAGTTTTTTCTTTCCCCTAACAATTCTAGTCTAGATTGAGTTGCTTTTTGCTAACGCCTACAACAAATGAAACTTCATTTCCAGCACTAAAGCGATGATTTTCAAAGACAAACTAATTTTAAGGCCATATTAGCTGCAGTGACCTTTTCCATTTGCTCCTTTTTCACACTTCAGTGCTGAGCTAATTTGAGATGTTCTTCCATCTTGTCTCAGGTGCTAAAAATAGAGCTTAATACAGTTGTCCCTGCGCTGAAGGCAGTGTTATGCACTGAGGATTTTCTTAACTAGAATTTGACCAACCATAGATCACAAGTGCCTTTTTTTCCTCTGAAGACTGTCGATTGCATATATTGTTGTGTAAACTACATATTTTATTTTTTGAATCCATGGTCCACTGAATCCCACTGAACTTGCATGTGATGCACATCTAGAAGTGGTTTTATGGACACCAGTTGCCAGAACACTATCTCCCACTTGATCTTTGAAGAGATTTTTAAGTCTTGGCTGTTCTCCCTAGTATAGTTCAGAGGTCATTTTCTGTTTTTTAAAGAAATAAAAGCAGTCATGAGAATCAATGCTGTGTAGATATTGTCAGTTTCTAGATGCGTAGATATTTGCACATTGCTCCTTTTTATTAATAATAGTTCTTAGAGGCCTCCTTTGTTTCCTGTCTGCCTTAGCTCATTACCAACTAATGAACTTTGGTAGTCAACAAAGGAAGAGGAAAAAAGTGAATTTTCTATACAGAGAGCTTGAAGGACATTTCTGGACAAACTTTAGAAAACTGGATTAGATAAATGTGTGTTAGTTTGCCATCTGCATAGTGTTCTTTATCATTTCCCAGCTTGATCTTTCTGCTGACTATTGACTTCACTCAGGTCCAGAATGGTTTTCTTGAAAGTCAGGTCCTAATATAGTTCCACTCATTTTAAAACTGCTAGCCATGCTAAAGCAAGCATGTGCTGCTGACTGAGGTCACATTTACCGTGTATGTCTAATGCTGTAGCTCAGGTATGTTCAGTCTGTGGGATGCATGTGGCCTGGCCCAGCATGTCCTGTGGCTGCTTCCCTGAGCAGCCCAGACTGGCCCCAGGTCCACCCCCATTGTTCACAACACTCATTGCTCAAAACAACCAAAGATTGGTGTGACATTCGTACTGTCTCAGTTGAACCCAAGACCTGGGGAATCAGAATCATACAACAGTTTGGGTTGGAAGGAGGCTTTTAAGATCATCTAGTTCCAGCACCCTGCTACAAGCAGGGGCACCTCCCCAAAGCAAGGAGCAGTGCAGGGTTCATTCAAGTTATGGCAAATAATTGTATGCATTTTGTTTCATTGGATCAACACAGTCCTGTGAACAGCAAAAAAAAAAAAAAAAAAAAAGTGCAGCTGTGTTTTCTGTTTTGATTGTCTAGTCCTACCACCAACCCATCACCATCACGCCCACTAAAGTGTATCCCTGTCAGTGCAACATCTACACATTTCTTGAACACAAGGGCAGCATCTTGCAGGGACAGTGACTCCCTGGGGGTTCTTCACACAATGTAGCCCAGGCAAGCCGAAGGTTGGATACCTGTGCTGTAAAGGACTAAAAGAGGCCAACAACCCAATCTCAAAGGTACTTGAGTCACCATTACCACAGGTGCTGTCTTGGTTGATAAGAGGATATTGGACTTGTTGCTAGACTTTCCCATACACACGAATCACAAATAAGAGTGCTGATGTCACTTTTTTTGCTGAAATCAGCCGAAGTCCAACCTCAAAGGTGTACTTCTGTTAGTATTAAGCTAATTCTTCAGGACCTGGTGGTCCAGCTAGCTTTGCATAAGTGAAAGCAAGTTCTTGTAATTCCTGGTGCAGGTAAATGCTGTAAGTCTGCGGAGGTGGATCAGTAAGAAATGATACTCTACGGTCAAGGAAATAATATTTCTGAAGTGTTTTAGGTTCAGCATCTTGGTTGAAATAAGTCCCTCCAAAATTGACTTCTGTTAACAAGCTTAATTGTTACATATGTATATTTCTTGGAGGATGAAGCCTCAAAAGCTAAGCTACTTCCAACCAATTCCAGCAAATACTCACACCTCAGCACAGGTGGCAACTGACACGGGGCCATGTCAGCATACTTAATGCGTGTGTTGATGTAACTAAGTCCAAAGCCAGGCTCTGTGACTGCTGTTTGTTCTCCTTTCCAATGACTGGTCCCTGTAGTGCTCCCTGGAGAGGGGTGACAACTTGCTGATGGAAACCATGAGGACAGTTCCAGGTGAATGGACCTCTTGTAGTTATCTCAGAAACATCGTATGCGTCACTCTCCCAATTCTGTGCCCAGTGTACCAGCACACAAGTGAACCTGGCTGAGCTGTGGTTGCTATAAAAAGGCAGTTGAAGGCTGCATGCGATGTGCAGGACGCTTCTGTGACACAGAGGGATGGAGCTGTCCCATTGCACGATGGGCTCCATCCCAGCTTGCACCCTTCTGTGCTTTATTAGTATAGCAGCAGCCAACATATTTGGTAAGTATGTTCTTTTACTTTACTCACATACAGTAGTGACTGCTTCTGTGACCTTTGTGCATTATTCCAACTAAGTGAATAGTGAACTTGGGTCTTGCACATTGCAAATGTAAATGATGGTTGTGTGATGTGATGTGCAGGCTGAGTTTAGCTCCAGGTTAAATCCTAAACTGTGAGGATGTCTACGTGATCAAGATTGCCTGAATTTGTAAAATCTGGAATTTGGGTGGAAAAACAAAGTTTTCTGGAAAACATGATTGTCTAGAGAAGAAGCATGAATAGAAAAGGGTGGGATGAAAATCTTCTATTTCTGTGTCCCATCACTGAATTTAGGTTTTATTCTCAATTTAAGATACTGAATGTTAGTCTGAATGTTGTCCTCTGTTCTCTTTGGTCTGTTTAAAGATCTTGAGTTTGATAGTCCTGAAGGCAGCAGTGTAAGTCATCCACTAATGTTTAATTCAAGTACTTTAATAAGCTGTACAAAGTGCTGTACAAAGGGACCTGCACACATCTCAAAGCAACTGGCTCACTCACAGTTGAGATGGAAAGGATGTGAGAATTGTCTACATGTGGATAGCTGTAGTTGAGCTAACATAAAATCCCTTACAGTCTTGTGGCAGTTTCACATGGGCTTAAGGGGACACTGTAGAACTCAAAGAAAAAGTGATTGACAGTTCTCAGGTGCACGGAAAATACCTGTGGCTCAAATCATTGAAATCACTGAAAATCGAAAAGAATTCAGAACTTATGATGTGTTTGCACTACAATAAATTCAGACCAACTTAATCTGTTCTGTAAAAGAGAACCTACAAAATTTCACTGTTATCTTAATGCAGCAGACAAATTTGGTTTGCATTAAGAACAGATTGGAACAAGTGGTGGCTTCAGCAGCTAACCACGTGTACTGGTAGAGATTGAGAAGCTGCTAGTATGAGCCAGTCTGATGCTAAGTGCCAGATACTGATTCTTTGTAGGTCTTCCTTTGGTTAAGAAGAAATGCCTTTCCTTTTTATTGAATAGTGTCTGTTATTTAACTTTATTTATATCTTTATTCGGTTTCAATAAAGAACAAATACTCAGAAACGTAAATAGTGATGTCCCTCCTGCTGAGGAACGGACTTGGCTGAGGAAAGCACTGTTTTGTGGAGGTAACTACAACAAATGATGGTACCTACTCAGGTACCAGAAAATGGTACCACATTGGTATAGAACAAAGATGAATCTGTCAGGCATAGGAAAAGGCCTCATGAGCACCTCCATCACATACTTATCCTGCACCTGGCAGCATTGCTGGTTTGCTCTGTGCCTTTCTCTGCTGTCACATACAGAAAGGCACAGTGGGGAAATAACCAGGGAGGACTCATGAACTTGGGCTTCCTCTGTGCTTCTGTGGCGCAAACACTGGCATCACACTTAACGTTTACCTTCTTGATGCTTTCAGAGTACCAGACAGATTCTCAGCCATTGCGTCCCTGTGAACTTCAGAGGGAAAGGGCTTTTACAGGAGGAGAAACTTACATTCCTCAGTGCTCAGAAGATGGCCAGTTCAGGTAGCTCGTCCTTGCTGTAGTTCTGCTGTTTTACTATATAACTTTTCGTTGCTATTGAAATCTTTAGATTCAGTTTTGAAGAGCCACACTATCATTGGGCTGGAGGGCGAGGTACTCAGAGACTGAAGAGACTTCATAGAGCCGTGTTGCAGATCCAGCCTCTCCTGAATGAATTCCCTGTTGCTGGAATTCTCTAGGCTAATGGGTGAATCCAAGAGTAACCGCCTAATCTTGCTGAGGATTGCTGTGTAATGCAGCTGATGTCTTCCCATGCATACCAGTGGACATGAAACCTGTGACCAATGTGCCTGCTGGCATATATCTGCTAAGTTGATTCTTCTTAAAGTCGTGCGGTTAGATTTCTTCTTAAGACAGCAAAAGAACTAATCATAGAATCACAGAATCATTAGGGCTGGAAAACACTCCAAGATCACCTAGTCCAACCATCCCCAAGTATTGCCCCATAAATTCTGTCCCTAAGTACCACATCTACATGTTTCTTGAACACCTCCAGGGACGGTGACTCCACCAGCCTGTTCCAATGCTTCACCACTCTTTCAGAGAAGAAATGCTTCCCAATATCCAACCTGAACCTCCTCTGGTGCAACTTAAGGCCATTTCCTCTTGTACTATTGCTGTTACCTGAGAGAAGATGTTGACCCCCACCTCACCACAACCTCCTTTCAGGGAGTTGTAGAGGGTGATAAGGTCTCTCCTGAGCCTCCACTTCTCCAGACTGAACTATTAGGTAGACCCAGAGGATTTAGCAATACAGTCCTTTCTGATTCTATTATTTGAAGTAGCAAGTACTTGAGCCTGTTTGCCATGGTTTGTGCCCCATACTGACTGAGGACTTTGGAGTTAGCAGAATAAAATCTGTTACTCATGTTCTCCTTCAGGGCTGTTCAGTGCAGCAGGAATGGTCTTTCCTGTTGGTGTGTAGATGAGAATGGCATCGAAGTACCTGGCAGCAAACAGAATGGATATCCTATATCTTGTAAGTCAAAGGTTTTTATTTTTGTTCAAAATGTTGTTTTTTTTAAAGTGTTTTAAGACTACATTTAAACTGTTGAAGCAAAGAGCATTTAGACTTAGATGGACTCTATTTTATTGTTTTCACTGAATCTTTCTAGTGGAAATTCTAGTCTTACTTTGGGGATGGTCATGGAAAGTTGATATTCCTGTATCTGGTGGTCTGTATTCATAAAGATCAAAATAACATAAAATATAAACCTTAACTGATCATATTCACTTATGAATTGGAGAGCTTCAACCCTATCTGTGGTGGGTTTCTGGATACCAATTTTCATGACCTCAACTCCATCAGTGTCTTGATGCCTCCTGGGTGACAAAATCAGAAGTTTTCCCTCTCAGAAAATTCAGTTGTTGTTTAAAAATAGATGATTCTGTATCCAACAAATAACTTCCTCTAACAGTGTCCCTCTCTGGTGCTGCAGGCTTATCCTTCTGCCAGCTGCAAAAACAAAGAATCTTGGTGAGTGGCTACATCAACAGCAGTAGTATCTCCTACATCCCTCAGTGCCTGGACTCAGGGGCATTTGATGTGGTGCAGTGTGATGTGGAGCTGGATCAGTGCTGGTGTGTAGACCAAGAAGGAATGGAGATTGATGGCACCAGGCAGAGAGGAAAGCCAACACAATGTAAGTACTACTCAACAAAACAATGAGTTTTGTAGGGATGGAAGGTTTGGTGTCAAAGAAAGATGGTAAATAAGAACTTTGGGCACTGTAGCCTACGCTTATCCTATGGAAGTATGGGTGCTTAGTGGAGAAACTTGAATTAAGTCCCTTTTTCCTTTGGCTATAGAGAGAATACAAGACACCCATGTTAGGGTATTCAGTGTAATTAATCTAGGCCTCTTCCAATTCCAATGGGATTGTCTGTAGGACATTCAGCACTAGTAAACGTTACTGCTTTTCCTGCTAGGTCCAGGGACCTGTGAGATCCGAGACCGCCGCATTCTGCATGGGGTTGGGGAAAAGAGCCCCCCACAGTGCTCAGAAGATGGAGAGTTTCTGCCTGTCCAATGCAAGTTTGTCAACACGACAGACATGATGGTTTTCGATCTCATTCATAATTATAACAGGTAAGAGCATAGGCTTCCAAAACAGGGAGGCAGTGCTGCACAACTCTTAAAGGTAGGATATTACTGCATTTTTTTCCCCGTGAAATCCTTTTGCTGTGATTATGTCTGATATTATTTCCTGCTAATGAATAGTCCAAGTAAGAAGCATTCTCCTGTGAATTAAATTTGTTCTTCTGCAACAGTTTTGTATTCCATCCCTGTAGTGTATTCAGTGTGACTTTGCACAGTAGTGATTACCACTTTGGGATCTGCATTCGGGAAAGTAGCCAGGGAGAACTTTCAGACAAGGAGAAAATGGTAGATGAGATAGATGCAACAGAGAGAATGAAATACAGATGTATAGATGAACTAAGAAAGATAATTCCATATGGAAGGACAGAGAGATAAGTGGCAACACATAAAGAACAAGTTACTCATGACACTGGAAAGAAACTTGTCCATTTACACAGTGCTGGAGTTGCTCATACAGGTGAGCAAGCAAGAGATAAACAGAGACGTGATATACAGACCAGCTTCAGTGATTCGAGCCAGCTGGGGGAGATTTCAAAATGCTGGACCAAATGCTTGTCAGTGGGAGCAGGACACCTTTGTCCTTTGTAGGAATAAGGAATTAATGTTCATAAAGAGAAATAAGGGCTGGGAAAGGGGAACTGCAGAGGGAAGAGGTCTTGAGAAGTGCCCTTCTCTGGGCATCGCAATCAGCACGTTTCTCCAGAGGAGGGCAGTGAAGTAAATGTAATGTCTTGTTCTGCCTTGGCTCAGTTTGCAGAGAATAGAGCAATGCTTTAAATTAATATATTTTGAATCTTTTTTACATTTTTACTTTATTATGCTTTTTTAGTATTTGCTCCCATTAGGAGGTTTGTCTGGAAAAGATCTGCAGGACTGTGCACTTCTTGTGTCCATGTCATGTAAATAATCACAGCAGGACCATTTCACTTCCAGCTGTCTATTTTTCTAATTATGGCACAGACTTAATCCATAACTGTCTGATCGGAGTACCTTAGGTTGTTAATATATTTATCTTTCACCACATTCCTGCGTGGAATATTATTATTCTGCTCTATAAGCAGGCAGCAAGAATACAGAGTTGAAGTGACAAGTTCCAAAGCAAAGAACTGTGGCAAATGCAGAGATTAAACCCCTATTTTAACACGTTCACGTTCTGATAACTGGATAACTTTGGCTCCAATAATTCGTTTTTGAAATCTATGTATCACTTAACTCCCTTTGTAAATGGCTTCCCACACTTTTCCAACTATTCCAGAATAAAGGAGTGTGTCATACAAAGTAATTGAGAAATTTGAAAAGAGTAAGGCTAAGATTTTCCTAAGAGGAAGACTTCTGGAAAGGATAAACCTAAATTTTCTGCCTTACACCAGTTGTTGCCTACTGTTGCTTCTTTTATACAGACTGTGCTCAGCCTAGGATAGGCATCTGTATAGTGCAATCTGTGGCAATTACTGTGGGAAGAGATCAAGAATCCAAAAATCAATAATTTTTACTTTATTGTTATAACTTTCACAGGATCACAGAATGGCCAGGGTTGGAAGGGACCTCAAGGATCATGAATCTCCAACTCCCCTGCCACATGCAGGGACACCAACCTCCTCATTTAATGCTAGACAAGGCTGCCCAGGGCCCCATCCAATCTGGCCTTGAACACTTCCAGGGATGGGGCATCCACAACCTCTCTGGGCAGGCTGTTCCAGCACCTCACCACTCTGTAAAGAATTCCCCCCTGACGTCCAACCTAAATCTTCCCTCCCTCAACTTAAAACCATTTCCCCTCATCCTGCAGTTATCAACCCTTTCAAAGAGTTGATTTTCCCCCCTCCCTCTGTAGGCTCCCTTTAGGTGTTGAAATGCTGCAACGACATCAGGTTAAAGACCTTGATCACTGTCTTGCCCCAGTTCACTGGAGGTTCCGCCCTATTATAGTCTTAGAATAGAATCACAGTATATTCTGAGTTGGAAGGGACCCAAAAGTTCAACTGCTGGCTCTGCATAGGACCACCCAAAATTCAAACCCTGTGTCTGAGAGTGTTGTCCAAGCACTTCTTGAACTCTGGCAACTTGATACCATGGCTACTGCCACAATATTTCTCAGGTGCATTGCAGAATGCAGTTAGAGCAGCCCTGAGGGTACAGTAGGGTGGCACTGGGATTGAGACTAGTTTTGGTCTCATTTAGATTATGGAAGATTATGGGTTTGCTATAAAATTCTTGTGGTTGTCAACCTTTCTTTTTCTTGATCTGGGTGCCAAAGTGCCCTTCCTTGCTAAAACTTATTCTGACTCCATCATTCTATGAATGCCTTGAGCAGAATATTCCATTTCCTTTTTACTAGATTTTTCCAAATAAGCCACATGTGGCTGGGACATGGGGCCTTTATCATATTTCAGTGCTAAGATATGTCTCTGTAAAATAATACAGTTGTTTTGGAATGTGGTGAGAATGTCCCACTGGCCATATTGCCTCAGTCCAGCAAACAGTCTTCTAGAAGGCTGCAGAAACCCCAGAGTGTCTGTCTGTTAAGATCACATTTATTATGTTTCTTCCAACTCTAACCTCATTAAGTTTCCTTCCTAAGCCACTACTTTACTGGAATCTGGCTGTTGTCATTCCTAGAGTATTCTACTGGAAACTACCATTTCTTTGATCTCCAAAAGTAGGAGTCAATCTCACTTGTAATACATTAGAAACCTTTTCTCTTTAATCCATGGAATCATTCTCTCTGAGTGAAAAACATTAGTGATGTTTTTATCAGCTTTTATGCTTAGTTTAGCGCAGAAAGCCTACGTAGCATAGGAGGTAAAGGCAGCAACCTGTTTGTTTAGGCACTCAGCCATGCTGTGCACATTTGTGGAAGGAGCTAATGAACGACTATTGTAATAACATTAGGCCAACACGTGCCTATTCAACGTTCTTTGATGGCTTTTGGTGGTGAGAACAGAATTGAAAATGAATACTAGAGGCTGGGTATGTGCATAGGAAGGATAAGGAATCTTTCTGAAGGGAGATCTTACTGTACTGTGCTTGGTTAAAAAACGCAGGAGACTTGTTAGTCTACTGGAATGCTGATTTGGATCATGTTGGAGTCTGGGCGACGCACGCAGATCAAAGGATTGTCCCATGGTTTTGTGCCAGTCAGCAGATGCTTTGTTGTTGTTGTCATTGGGCCTCCCTGGGTACTTCACAAGAGGCTGCCTTTCCTTCCAGGCTCCCAGAGGCTTTCCAAACCTTCAGCTCCTTCCGGGAGACATTCCCAGAGGTCTCTGGGTATTGCTACTGTGTGGACAGCCTGGGGAGAGAGCTCGCAGACACCGGTGAGTGCCTCCCAGCGCCTCAGCTTCACCATGTTGAATTCCCAAGGAAAAGGACAAGTAATAAGTATCAGTCTTCAGTTTTGTTTGAGATCCAAGTGCATTCTTGCAAACACACAGATCAGTTGAAATGACTCTCATAGCATTCTCTCACTCAAGGTGAACCCACTGATGGGAACTCCAGCCAACAGCAATCAGAGTCAACCCTGCCCTCCTTAAGGTGCTGGAACCTTCAGGGTTTTTGCATGTCCATCCTCTGTCCATCTTAGAAAGCTGGATCCTATTCAGTGTCCAATTGCAAGTGTAGAGGAATATAAAAGACATGGAAGTTGAACTATTTTCTTCTTGCTCTGATGGTCTTGTTTTCTCATAGACTTGGGTTACTTTCAGGCATATTAGTAGTTGATGGGAAATTTTACTGAACAGAGTTTTATTTTTCAATATAGAGGAATGAAGAGGTTGAATGCTCCCAAGTCCACTTGCTTAGATATTTCTGTTCAAAAAATTGAAGCAAAAAAATAAAATAAAATATATTTAAAAATAAAAAACAACAACCTCTGGGAAAAATGCAGAACACGATGGATTAAAATTTACATGGTAGATGAGAACTTCAGTATTTAATTCCCACGAGTATGAGAAGTTCTCCTAAAATCTGAACTAAGCTAATCTAAACTCAGAAGAACTACTGCACATCTTTTCATTTGCTTAATTTAGTCAATCAAAATGGCCAGGAATTGTTTTTTGGAATTGTCAGTGCTATAATTGCGCAATTTCAATGTCTCTACTGCAAAGTGAACCACAACCACAGCCCAGTGCTGGTTACTGGATGTTCCTCGTTAATGGCAATGAGTGATGACTGGGCACTCAGCAGCATGTTGTGTGGTACAATGCATTAGAGTAATGAAGCCTGAGTTCACATTTGGGCCAGTTCATAGGCCTGGTTTTCTTTTTCCTAATACATTTCCAGTTCTGCTCCTCTGGTACAAAGCAGATGACCGCTGTTTTAAAATGAGACCTATATTTCCCAGGCCTGGAGTTGCTGCTTGATGAAGTTTATGACACTATTTTTTCTGCACTGGAGCCTGCCCGTACGTTCACAGAGACCAGCGTGTATCGGATCCTGCAGCGGCGCTTCCTGGGAGTCCAGCTGGCCACCTCTGGCCGCTTCAGATGTAAGTAGTGCCCAGCTGACACCATGAAAATAATAATTTTGGGGTTTATATATGACAGCTGCCACTGTGAAGAATTGTTCTGATAGCCTCTTGCATTTAAGCATATAGTAAGAATCAAGATCCTTCCAATGAAGCTGACTTTTAATCTCCAGGCTGTAGATTTGTAGCATCAGATTGTATTTAACCTATGAAGAAAGCTTTCCTTTTGAGGTTTGCATTAATTGAAAGCCAGTGAACTCTGCATAGAATCTTTGAGATTCTGGAGATAGATCTGATGCTTTAATTACACTTAAAAGCCTGAGAAAATGCTTCTTAATTTACTACCCTACAGTCAGAAGTAGGAAGGATCTTACACTGGCCACAGCATTCTCCATCCCCATGAGACTGTACATGAGGTTGCAGTGCCTGAGCCAGCAATGCTGAGCTTCTGGATCTGCCCTTGGGGAGGATCTTCCCACTGGAGAGGGCAGGCAAATGAGGAGAGCTTCCCTGCTGGTGAGCAATGAGCTCTGCAGGGCAGGCAGTAAGGTGCCTCCTTCCTTGCACCAAAGCCTTGTAGAACTGCCTTGTCGGGGAAAGTTTGTATCAACTGGTGTGGTTCTTCATCCTCCTATCCAAACTCTGATGTTGGCATCTGACCCTCACTAAGGAGTCATTGGTCAGATACCAATGGAGGTCTTCCAGCCATGTGGGTCATACAGTTGTTCTATTTCTGGGACAAGCCATCATTCTGGGAGGTCTGGAAAGCATCTTCTCCCTCCCACTGCTCAGTGCCGTGAAGCAGACTGTGCCTGCAGTTGGAGGTGGTTCAGTAGGAATGAAGCTGTAACAGCCACCAGATGGAGATGTGACCACACTCGTTAGCCATTGACCATGATGCTCTGATGAATTACCCAGGATTTACACCAGCCAGACACACTATGTGCTGCCAGGAAAGCCGTCAGACTCCATGGATGAAGGGTTTGTTCTGTTGTGATGCTCTCACTACCTGACAGCTGAGCAAAGTGGAAATGCTCTGGAAAGTGAGAAATGTTTAGGCTTTGGGATTGTATCTTTATAGAAAAGAGCAAAGCTTCTGTTGGAAGGGCTGAGACTGGTGTTAGAAGACCGTAAGTCATATCAGAAAGTGTGCTTCTCTGCCCTTCTGCCCAGTTTGACAGGAATAGAGGCTTCTGTTCCCTGCACAGAGGTATGAAAGAAATTGATAGTCTCAGCACAAATCCCTGCCATTAGGTATGGAGCTTGTTGCAGGAGCAGTACCTCATTCTCACTGGAAGCACTGCACTGTACATGCTTGCGTCTCTGCGTCCCATGCTGCACATCTGTTTCTGCTGACCACCTTTTCTTTTGCATTAATGGCCAAAGCTCTCTGAGTGAGTGATGTTTCTCCTCCATCTTCCTTTGATAATGGCTGAAAAATGAGTTGAGGTTCTTGTAGTTTTCAGAAATCAATATCTACAGAAGAAAACCATGGAATTGATTCACTTGGGTGAAAGAGGATGGAAAATTTCTGTCTTGGGCTGGTATTTGAAGTTTCAGGAAATTAAACCTTTTTTTTCTCCAGGCTTGGTAAAAATAAGTAAATGATTGAATCAAGCATAGATGGCTCTGAAACCTTAAGTTTTTCCTCCTCTTTTCTTCCAGGCCCTTCAAAATGTGAGGTTGAACATTATGCAGCCCAGCGCTACCAGCATGCCTACATCCCATCATGTGACTCTGATGGGGGATACACAGCAATGCAGTGCCAGCAGGGAGGACAGTGCTGGTGCGTGGACACCAAAGGGCAGGAGGTCCAGGGCACGAAGAGACGAGGACAGCCCCCAGCTTGTGGTATGTGCGAGGTTTGGAAAAGGGGAAAATGCTAGCAGGCAGCATTGCCTTCCTTATCCATGTATGCTTTCAGTTCAAACTGGTCCCATTCACCTTCACCCTCTAAACTCTTCATACTGTGGGAATTTTGTGTATGATTAAAAAAAATGAAGGAGCAATTCCCTTCTTAGGTCTTGACAGATTGTGGTGCTCAGAAACTGGTATCCAAATACGTCAGTACTGTTAAGAAACACATTTGAATGAATTATTAAATACCATATTAATTTAATTTTCCTTTAGATCTGCCTTCAGCCTTTTAGTTTTTCATACATTCAGATAATCTATCCCTTCACTCTAGGAGAGTCTAGGTCCCAGTATCATAGAATCAGAGAATCATTAAGGTCAGAAAGATCAGTATAAGACCATCTAGTCCAACCATCAGTATCTGTCATAGTGTAAGCAAAGGTGATGTTTTGGGCTACCCTGTTGTTTTGGTGATAGCTACTGAACTTCTGTCTCTCTCTCTCATTCTGAATTTTTTTTTTCCTGTATTTCTTTCATACTTGGCCACAAAAATTGTCAAATCTGGTAGAAAAATATTTAGAGAAGGTGTCTGAGTTTGTGCTTTGAGAGGGATTTCATTAAGAATCCATCATCAAATCAGTGCTCCAAATGGAAATGACAGCAGAAATGTTGAATGGCCGGAGGGGGGAGAAAAGCTAAAAACCTTCACTCCAAAGTGTGCTACCTCAGTGTTCAGGATTGTGCCAGAGGGCTGGGGCACGAGGTCTTAGTTCTAAATGTCTTTGGGGAAGCTCATTTCTCTGCCTGCAAGACGCAGTGGTACCATGAAGATAAAAAAAGGAGGAATCTACCCTGGGTGTAATGATTCCAAGTCACTCAGCATGCTCCAGGCACAGACAGGCTTACAGTAAAATGAAAATGTTCGCATGCCTCCAAGGCTGATCACCAAGGATATTGCAAGGAAGCCTCCGAGAGGCCTCACCATATGTTGGGGCTGGTTGTTTTCTCTTTGCATGTGCTTTGCTGAGCTTTCCTGATAATTTTTCGGGGGGCATGACTTGAGGCTGCTTGCAGCTTTTATTGGCTGACTCAGGAATTTTAAGCAGGGGATATTTCTGTGGAGATTTTTTAGGCTAACCCCAAGAAGGTATTTCATGAGAATATAGCTGGAGTCTCTGGCCAGCCAGTTACATGCCATGTGCGTATCTCCTCTGCTCTGTTTTATTTCTTTGTGATTTCTTTGCTGTTATTCCCAGCACTGCTCACACTGGAGGAAGCAGAGATGTAGGTATGGGGAGCACCTCAGGTCACACAAGTACCAGGAAGTTCGGATAGGAACATACTCCTTTTTAGACCCTACAGTAAATTCACCCCAGCGGTGCTGTTCTGTTTATTCCTCATCATTTTACTTTGATTCAACAGTGAGTAGGAGGGCAGAGCATTTAACAACTGTGTTCCTACATTTGCTTTTGATTAGCATACTTGGGGATTGTGGCTTACACTGACTTATTGGTCCCTAGAGGAATGTTCTTCATCCCTGTTACTAAGAGGGACTACACTGAACACAGGAGGGGCCCATCCTACAGAAAATGCCTTTACAAAGAAAGCACTGTGATGGACTCTGAGCCCATGCCAAGAACTGCAGCACAGAGCAAAGGTTCTAAAAGGAGGAGTGAGAAAGATGCTGGTCACAGAACCTCAGATTACTTGCTAACCTATTTGAGCAGCTTTTAGGATTTCTAGCTTCTGTCCTCACTGTTAACACTGTTAGTTTTATAATATTGCCTGAAAATGAAATGGATGAGGAATGAGGAAGGGAATACAGAATAGAGATGGAAATGGAGGTGGAGGCGGGGATATCCTAGGGAATGTTATATCATACAAAATCTGTTAGTTCACTATCTTGTCTCCAATGGTGTCTGCAGTAGATTTTAGGGACAAAGAGTGAGAAATACAGGGAACAAAGCGTGACTAGTTGGTATGCTATCTCTGCAGGCTAGACACTTCCCAAGCTGGAGGTTGAACCCAGATCATTGTTTTCAGCATTCCTCTAAGGAGTCACCTTCCAAGTATTTGTCTAGTTGCTCTTTAAACTTTTATCCTTTCTAGAATCCTGTAGTAATATGTTTCATAATCATAGTTATGTGCTCTACTTCTTGCTTCTTTCTAACTACAAATTCTTCACTATGAAACTATAAAGATTCAGGTAGGAAACCTCCACAAATTTCTCATTAATGAGCATTCATTAAAAAGACTCTTTCTTTTCTGTCATCTATTTCCCTTTCTCTTGTCCACATATTGCATCTGAATCAAGCGTAATTTTTATTAGAAGTAGACATCCTATCAGAGTAGTAATGTATTTGAAAAAAGACTTTATAGTTTCAGCCATAAAAGTTGGAATGAGGATTTGCACTGGAAAACAATATAATCAAAAAAAGACCAAGAACAGTACATTCAGATATGATGAAAGATATTAGTGTCTTGAATGGAAAAGTTTATTTCTACATTACACTTAGCAACATTTTAAATTTCTTTATCAGTACGACTGATGCTTAGTTGGGGATCTAGGGGCAAGTTAAATTATGCTCAGAAGCATTTGCATCTATAGAGTAGTGAGTTTGGAGTTTCATAAATTTGTACTTTTTACCTTTTTTTTTTTTTTTAGGTGAAGAACAAACGTGCATCTCTGAGAGGCAGCGGGCCTTGTCAAGGATCTTTTATGGCCCTGCTGGGTACTTCAGCCAGTCCAATTTATTTTCCACACCAGATGTACAGTCAGAGAAAAGAGCTGGCTTCTCAAGACCCTGCCCTCCCTCCTTCAAAGAGCTGTTTCTGGATTCTGGATTGTCATCTCCAATCATGCAAAGTCCATATGCCAGCCAGATTCCTGGGCTAGAATCCATCCTTAGTGAAGCCATCTCAGGAATGTTCCCATCGAGGGAACTGGCTCAAGTGGCATTGCAATTTACTGCCAATCCAAAACGCTTCCAAGAAAATCTCTTTGGAGGAAAGTTCTTGAAGAATATGATCCAGTTTAACTTCACTGGGGCACTTGGCACTAGTGGCAAATACAGCATCGGGCAGTTTTTCACAGAGGAAGATGCAACCGAGAGGAATAGTAGCCAAGGCCTTCTGCAATCAGCTGTGGCCTTTCCATTGGAAATATCAAAGGGGAGCTCAATTTTGAGTCAAGCTCTTGTAGGCAGCTTTGGCCGAACAGTAACTCTTCAGGACAATCAGAATATGATTAAATTCCTTTCCTCTGTCCTGGAACTTCCAGAGTTCTTTACTTTCCTTCAACAAGTGATTTCTGTTCCCAAAAGCATTGCTGAAGATTTGGGTGAAGTGGTGAAATTAGCACTGGGATCCAAAGACTGTGGTGAAGAGCCAAGGGACCTGTTTGTTCCAAGGTGCACCAAGGAGGGGAGGTATGAGGAAGTTCAGTGCTATGCAGGAGAGTGCTGGTGCTTGAACACTTCAGGTAAAGAAGTACCAGGCTCAAGAATTCAAGGTGAACGTCCACGGTGTCCCTCTGATTGTGAGAAGCAAAGGAGAAACTTGCAGAACTTGAAACAAAGCCTGTCTGCAGGGTCAGATCTTTTTATTCCCTCTTGTACCAAGAACGGAGACTTTCTGCCACTTCAGTGTTATGGGACAAATTGCTTCTGTGTTGATTTGAATGGAAAGACTATTCCAGGAATAAGAGGAAATATTGCAAAACCCATAAAATGTAAGTTCTGGGAATTGGGAATTTAAAAAGTATCTATTAATAATATCTATTTAAAGATAGTTCTTTACTTTGTTGAAATTTCATGATTTATTTCTTCATATTTGGTTGTTTCTGGAAATATATAAATGATTGTCCCCTAACACAAAAGAATATTATCCCTACAGTTGAAGGGCAATTAAGGGAAATAAAGTGTACGTAAAACATGGCATCCTAAATCTTAGAGACAGTCCCTTTTTCTTTCAGTATGTAAGGCAGGTACGCTCACAGCAGATAGCCTGAGATCTTTCCTTATGTGCCACTGACATCTGTCTCTACTTAAATGTGTAGTATAACATCTCTAATACCCGTGAGACACAGAGCATCTGTATGCCCCTAGCCAAGTGAAAAACTCTTCTGCTTCCAGGACAAAATAACTTGTGCAGCACTGCCTCATTCTTGTCCTGAGAGCTGAAGTGATTTAATGCTTTAAACCATGAGCTTCTTTTAGCTTAGGAATGTATCTTTAACTTGGTAGGCCATCATAGGAGACCAAACACAAAAAAAGATACGTACAAAAGCTAATTGATTTCTCATAATGATTGAAAACAGCACATCAACAAGAGGAACAGCCCAAGAGAAGATCCTGTTTCTTGCATTGGAAGGAATAGTAGAGTAACCAGCATATGATACAGTACATACACAAAAGGAGCTCTTTTGAGTAGCAGTTTGTAGAAGTACTGGTCAATTCATCACAGTGTTCTAAATTGGTAGGAGATTTATTTGTAGCAGTCCATCTGGAGTTCAGCCAAAAATAAACAGGTTTATAATGTTGTGGTGTGCCAGAGGTGAGCTCCTGTGTTCTGCTATGTTTGTAGAACTGCTTGGTGGCAAAATGAGATTTGGCTCTGGAAGTGGCAGCAAAACATTTCAAAAAAAAACCCTAATTCACACCTGCATTCTGAAGGATGGTATTTTTATATTCGGCTATGATATTCAGAGTAGAAAGATAGAACAATGTGATTGAAAATTTTGGTAAAGTTCAAGAGGAAATAAAGTCAGTATTATCCTACTATTCACATCATTTATGATTGGCTGAAGAAAGATCAACTACCAGATTTTCTAGTGTATCTGAAAATGCTTACTTGATGTGATCAGATTCAGGAAGCTGTTTAGTGGCATCAAAATCCTGTCTCCCCAGTAAGAACTACAAGCATCTAATGTGCTCAGATTTTGTTTAAATTTCTGAATACACCTTTAAAGGCTCATACGCCTTTAAGAATCTTACTCTGGCCCAACATGGCAGAAATTGTTGCCCTTAATAATGGGCCAAAAATGTTGTTGTTTTGGGGACAGATGATGAAGTATCAGTAATAGTGTTCATGGCATGACAGTGAGAACGTCCAGGTTGCAGGTATTGTATAATTTTGCATTCATAAGATGTGCTACACATGTTTTTTGTTTCCTCAGGCCCCAGTGCTTGTCAAATCACAGCTGGACAGGAGTTTCTAAAGACTCTGAAGCTCCTGTTGTCAGACCCAAGTTCTCTGACTCAACTCTCCAGCATTTACCTACCCCAGTGTGATACTGATGGTGCCTGGAAGCAAGTGCAGTGCAGTGGTCCTCCTGAGCAAGCTTTTGAGTGGTACGAAAGGTGGATTACAGAGAACAACGAAGGCAAAACTCTGCCCATAGCCAGTCTATTGAACATCCTAATTGGATATAAAAATGCATCTTCCAAAGGTTATTCAGGTTTTATTGAAACTTTGTATGAGACTGGGCACCAGAATGTCTTTCCAGCTTTCACCACATACTCATCCTTTGCTGATCTTCCACCTGAAGTGCTGGAGGGAAATGTGACCTCTGTATCTGAGAACATTTTATTGGATCCGTACACATTCTGGCAGCTTCTGAATGAGCAGTTTACCTATTACCCAGGAGCCTACACTGATTTCAGTGCTCCATTAAGCCATTTTGACCTTCGTGATTGTTGGTGTGTTAACAGCAATGGGGAAGAACTGCAAGGAACAAGGGCAGAAGTGAACCAGGTACCGACATGTAAGTAACAGAATTGCTGGCATATAAATAAAAGTTTTTCTGGTCTTCGATTTTATACCACAAGAGAAAAATTCCTTTCACGCGCAGTGAAGTAGGAGATAATGGTTTAGGGAAAGATTATTGATAGTGTCATTATCACTGACCACCTGAGGAGAAAAAACTCATTTTTGGAAAATAAACAGTCCATCTGCTTTGGCAACATGGATGAATGAAATCCTGTATCAGGAAGTGTAGTTATATAATGCAAGGTGCTTATCCAGATACCAAAGGATACTACAAAGCTAGAAGCATTCTGTGAAGGCTTGTAGGGAAAACTGACTGTTAAACTAACTGATGTAAAAGACTTCCAAGCACACCTTAAAACTACAGAGGAGGATTTTCTTTACTGTTCCCTGTTATTCAGTCAAGAGTAACAGGTATGCCCTAGAAGTCCAACAGGATAAGAGTGAGGCCATCACTGAGATTTGGTAAGCCCTCTGTTTAGAGCATCTCCACCAGATCTTTCATTGGAGTTATTTCCAGCAGACAAACTAGATTGTAGACATAGTTGTTGAAACTGTAAATTCATATCATACAGTAATTTTTCAGCCAGAAGGCAGAGTGGGCAAGGAGTGGTGAAGAAACCAGTTCTGCAGGCAAAAGAGAAATATAATAAAAGAGATTAGCAGAGTTATTTTAGCAGAAAAGCTTCCACTGAACTGTTTCAACTGTTTCATTGTTTCAGTGTGTTTAACTGCCAACTATCCAAGTCTGTAGATGTCTGGAAAGAATAGGTCAACTTCCCTTTGCTTTCTACAGGTCCTGGTATATGTCAAAGTATTCAGCAAGAAGCTGTGAAATTTATAGAGGAGACAGAGCAACTCATCCGAGCCTCGAACACTTCCCACTTCCCTTTTGGAGAGAGCTTCTTGATGGCAAAGGGAATACAGCTCATGGACAGTGACCTCCTACGTTCTACTCGGCCCTATGAATCAGAGATGATGGTCTCTGAGAAGTTGTTATCGGGCAGTGACTATGCTCTCCAGCTGGCTGCACAATCAGGTGGGGGGAGATGGAAATGAGGACTTTGAATTAAAAGGATTAAGCCTAGGATCTGTGTAAGAACTCTCTATAGCAAATTCAACTTTGCTGAAAGACAAGGGCAACTCAGCAAATGTTGCTTAATGGTCAATTAACCTAACCCAAGAGCTGATTTCAACTGTCTTGTATGAAGAAAAGCTGAGGGAGTTAGGCTTGCTTAGCTTGGAGAAGAGAAGGCTCCAAGGAGACATCATTGCAGCCTTCCAGTACTTGAAGGGAACTTACAAGCAGGAGGGGGACCAACTCTTTACACAGTCTGATAGCGATAAGACAAGAGAGATTGGCTTTAAACTAAAAGTGAGGGATTTTGGTTGGATGTTAGGAACACGTTTTTTACTGAGAGGGTGATATGGCATTGGAACAGGCTACCTGGAAAAGCTGTGGATGCCCCATCCCTGGAGGTATTCAGTGCCAGGCTGGATAGAGCCCAAGGCAACCTGCTCTAGTGGCTGGCAGGGGGTTAGAAATAAATGGTCTATAAGGTCCCCTCCACCCTAAGCCACTTAATGATTCTTTGATATGTATGGCACCTTGCATAGGTAAGATATGGGTACTCTGTCTTCCTTCAGTGTTTGCAAACATCTAATTTTAAAATATCTCTTCTTGTATTTGCCACCAACGACTTTCTCTTACTCATATTTTACAGTCTTGCATTTCTACTGGCAGAATCACTTTACATCAAAAGGTTTTGCTGGAGAAGCTACGCAGCTAGGATTTCATCCCTACATCCCACAGTGTGATGGCCTGGGAAACTGGGAGCCAACTCAGTGCTATGAGAGCACAGGTGAACTATCCCTTGCAAAATTCTCTAATTTAAAAAATAGAAAACCTGTATTCTTGTAGCCAAATCAAAGGGAGGTGGATAGGTGGGCTATATGATGGGTGAAAAATTGATTGGAATGAGTGACTCAAGTGACAGTTCATCAGGTTTCAAAAATCAGTCAATGTTCAGTTGCTTGCTGCTAGTAGTGTTCCTCAGAGGGAAACTCAAGAATCAGCAATTGTTTAATACTTCTGATAATGATTTGTTAATGATCAGGGCAACAAGATGGAGTATACTCTCAGCAAATCTATGGATTACAGGAAATTGGTGGGAGTAGATGTTATACTGCAGTTTTTGCAACAGAAAGTTCTTACCAGAGGTGCTGTGTTTCCATTCTCAGCAGTGCTCAGAAGTATGGTCTATTTTTCTATGGACAGCAGAATTAACTGTGTCTGCAGCTTACTGACCACTTTCTGTGGTGACACAGTGAATCAAAATCCTCCAGGAATGCAACAAATTTAAACACAGATACTGCAATGCAATATCTAAGTAAATCTGTTTTTCTTCCCTGGGCAGGTCATTGCTGGTGTGTGGATGAAAGAGGACGTTATGTTACGGATTCCTTGGTTTCACGCTCAGCAGAACGTCCCAAATGTCAGTTGGCTTTTCTTCTTAAGTGTCTGTGCTTACCTATTCTTAAAAATTTTAATCTTTATTGAAAATTCTAGTGCTATGTATGAAGAGAGGCTTGTTTTTAACCAGTGCAAGAGAAAGGAGACCTTTGTATTTGATTTTGCTCATGCGTTTTATTTCATTATGTATGAATTCAGCTCGCATGATTTGGGAATTGACCCCCTACTGTTGTTGCCTGACACTGATCAGATGTTCCCTGCCTGACACTGCAGCAAAGCCTCATGTAGATAAGCAAAGGAGATGGAGGCATGCCCCTTTCTCTATGTTAGGTCTGAGAACTTCATTTTGTTTTAGCATGCATACATATGTTTTCCCTCTTGTAGGTCAGACGTCATGTCAGAGATCTCAAGCCAATGCCTTAATCTCCAGCTGGAGACAGAGTGGCTCAAAGCTGGATGCCTCTGCAACAGATCTGTTTGTCCCCTACTGCCTTGAGGTAATTTAGTGTGGCCGAGGAAAGGCGTATCAAAACCTTCCTGGTTTTGCTATAACCGTGCTAAGGACCCATAGAGTTTCAGTCTAAGCTCACTAAGTATCCCTTTCTGCATTCTTATTAAACTGAATGAAAAGGGTTCAACAAAACAAAAGGGAGGTTTTCTCTCCATAAATCAGTCCATGATGCTCCTGAAACTTGCCAGTGAGTGCTGTAGAGCCCTGAGATGGGGAAGGAACAGAAATTTCAAACCAAGGTTATACCAGAAGTTAATCCCAGTGAGCTTTCAGTCTATGTACTGCTCTTAACATGCATTAAAGGACAAAAGTAAATATAACCAAATATTTTAACCAGGCTTTTGGGATATGAATGCCAGTGTGTCTGTGTTAGTATGTGTTGCTCTGCAATGACATGTAATTGATATTTCTTAGACAGGAGAATATGCCGTGCTACAGAGATCTTATACAAATACTTGGTGTGTAGATCCTGGGTCAGGAGAAGTATTTCAGCCTGGCACCAAAGATTCAGATGGCAATCCTGAGTGTGAGTAATGTTTTACCAAACAGGCTGTGATGGCAGTGGTAATGTTTCATGCTTTGCTGCATATGTACTTCTGTACTTTCCTTTTTGGAATGATTCCCATGGAAATATGGAGGTCTTATGATTGTACTCCTCAATGATAAGTTCATGCAAATATAATCTTTGAGAGGATAGCTGAAAATAGTTACCGTTTACCTTCATAACAAGAAGAAACCAGTGTTCAAAAACTGATTAATAACCTATGTTCTATTTATACTCATGCCACTGCAGAAAAGTTTGCAGGCTCATGAGTTTTCAGGATGAATTCTGAGCTGTAGGAGCTGAATGACATGCAGTACAAGAGCAACAGAATCACAGCTTTGAGTCCATTTAACATCATCCTTGACTGCTCTGTGCAGTGTGATTAAATCCATATTATCTTTACGTTGTCTTCAAATAGAGATAGAGACTGTTCTTCAAATAAAGGTAGAACTGTTGAGCTCTCATCAGAGATGGGAGATCTTATACTAGGATTCTGTGATTCTCTGACATTCTCCAAAAGGCTGGAGAAACCCTGCTTAGAGAAATTGAGATGCCCAGTGGGAGTTAATCCCCTGGCTCTGCTCTGTGTTTCTTTCTTCAGTTCCTCAGCTAGTGATTTTCTGATTTCCACCTCCCATAGAAAATTTGGGAGAATAATCTTCAGGCTTCAACCAAAGTTTCTACCAGAACATCCATATCAAGAGCAGATGATTGCTGAGGATGGGATAGCAAGTTAGATGGTACCTTGGTCTGACCCAGCAAGTCTGCTCAGCTCTTCTTATAGATGACCTACTGATAGAAATCTGGTTGTAGATGTGTAGCATACCTGATGGGAGAGAAGTAACTGTGTGTTGCCAGAAGAAATAGGAGTTGAATATTTGTTACTTGATTTGTTACTACCCAAATTTACTTCAACACTTGTGGATGAACAAAATTAGTGAATATCAATTTTATTGGGGTGAATGTTTTGGATCTTCTTGGGTTTCGATAGTTCCTCAAGTACATGTCACTGTTTTGTTCATTTGTGAGAAATAATTACTATGCTGTTTATAAGAGCATATGTGTGAGATTATGTTGTAACATTATTAAATATCCTTATCATATCTTTTACTTTTTTTCCACCATTTTCTTGGTACAAATTCATGCAACATGCACTATAATCTTTAGGAAAAAAGTGTATGTTGTCTAGTGCATCTAAAATTACACATATTTCTAAATAAGTTATTGCTATATTCTATTTTTCAGATGATCATTTGTCTTCTGTTCTGCATCTTGCAATGATCTTTCTCTCTTTAAAGGTCCTAGTTTCTGTAATATGTTGGAGTTGAAAACTAGTTTACGAGAAGCTGGGAAGGGTTACATTCCAAAATGTGAAGAGGCCAGTGGGATATTCTCACCTGTGCAGTGCACCCAGGATGAAGAAAGCTGCTGGTGTGTATTTGACAATGGAGAAGAGGTACCTGGGACACGAGTAAGCGGAGGAAGACCTGCATGTGAAAGTGAGTTGCTGCTCGCGGCATTTTGCTTCTCTGCAAGTTTGACTCTGGAACCTGAGCCAAAACTACATTTTTCTAGCATTTTATGTTTAAGCTTCTTTTCTCAGACTGATAGAGAGATTTTTGCTCAGGTGGTATCATTATCTTTGTGTTATAGTAGACTTCTGACGTACCTGGGCATAGTGTCCCATTTTCTTCAAGTGCCTTGTCAGGAGAAAGAAGAAGGGAATGAATCTTTGACTCCTCCTAATTCATAAAATTGGTTAAATCTAAGAGCTGTTAAGCTAAGCTAAAAAGTCAATCTGAATAGGTTGCTGCAAACTTGAGCCAATTCCAGTCTGAGCTGGCTCTGGGATTAAAAGCCATCCAACTGACTAAAATAAAATTTAAAAAATGTATGTTTCTGCCATTCCTACTGCTGGCTAGTGATTGGAATTGTGGAAAGGATGTGCCAAAACACTACATATTTGCAGAGTATTTCTGACATTATTAGAGTTGTGAAGTACTGGATTTCACTCATGGTTTCCAGTGAGATGTCCAAGTAGGAGACATTTGGATAAATTCTATTACCAATTGTCTTCAAACATCTTCCCAACATTGAAGTAAGCTAAACAAATTAAAATTTCTATAAGGCCACTATCCAAAGTGCAATGAGTTGAAATTAGAGATGTAAAAAGAAAACCTTCAACTTCAGAGCCAGCACCTGCAGGACACCACAGTTTCCATAGTTCATTTGTTTGTTTGTTTGTTTTTTAAACGAGAGCTTTTGGTAGATTTTAGAAAATGAGTCCTCATGACAATAAATTGCTTAGGTATCCTTTAGTGATTCTGCTATATAATTAGAAAAAAATGTGCCCACCATGCTTACTGTGTCAGCCCAACTAGCTGTAAAGCATTTTCATAATTCATACAATAATCAATCAGGTAACTTCTCTGCCAATTTGGAAACCAGCTACATCATTTCATTTGGAATCTCTTATACTATATATATATAGTAGACACCTTTGAGGATAGGATCATTTGAGAAGACACAAGGAAATCACAGGGCTTTGTCTGCCCCAAGCAGGTGCTATCTAGAGATGCTTAAGCAGGCTCTGAAGAAATGAATTCCAGAGCTGGTGTGCTATAGTTATGTGCAGCTTTGTAGCTATTCAGAGAAGCAGAGCTTATTAGTCTAATAAATATAGTGCTGCCATCTTGGTTTCAGGTTATGGGCTAGGATTGCTGACACTGGACTGCATAATATTTGTTTACTGTTTTATTTGGACCAGCTGGAGGAACTCAATGTGGTGCACAGCACTCAGTAGTGCAATAGATAGACTCTGATAGTTGAACATAAAAAGTGGAAGAGCTTGCAATAAGCCAGAGAAGTCAGAATTAGTTGTAAATGCAAAGTCTTTTGTATCTCCTTATCTTCACATAAGATCATTTTCTGGATTTCCTGCTAAGTTCCAAAGGATCTTTATGAAATATGATAAAGAATGTTTAAATGTACCCTGGGATATGGCTCTGATTTTTCTGGATTTTGCTTGCACATTTAATGTTTCTTGGAATCCTGAAATGCTGTAGTTTTCATAGAGGAAACAGTGACTGAATGATTAATGATCTTCCATTTTTGAAAGACTGAGCTGAGAAATAACTGCTTAGAAAACGTAGTGGAAACCTGGGGAACTGTTTGTTATTTTCTGCGTAAAAATACCATTGAAATAAACTTCAGTAATTTTCCTGGATTTTGAAAAAGCAATAGAACTTTTTCATGCTTAACAACTTAGTAATGGTATAAAATTAAGAAGCACAAATTATTTTCCCCCTCAACCTACTCAGCTTGGTCCTGGAATCCACTAATAATTATTCTGTGAATGGAAAGAGTATTCTTTCATCATCTTGGAGATCTTCTCAATTAGTGAAAGAAGCTGTTGGGAGCTGGTGGGAGAATACAATCAACGTCTCCTCCAGCATCAGAACAGACAGCTGTAAACACCAAGTAATAACTTTTGAGTGCCCAGTTCTTACAATGTGGTTTTCATTAGATTAATCATTTCCATCAGCAACAGAATTCAACTTCTATTTGACATGCAACAGAGAGCTGATGCCAAGTATCCTGGCAGTCCCCACGTGCACCTCCCATCCCCATGCCTGCCATCCATAGCTCTGGGTGGAGATAGAGAAGACAGAGCCTTTTTTGGAGAAGATACTTTCCTTCTGGAAATGTTTAGAAACACCTGTGAAACAAGCGTCAGTATTCAATTTGATTCTGGCTCATTCCTCCTGGACCAAGAAATTGAGGTAGAAACAGAGGAATGACAAAATGGTAAAGGCTTGATAATCATAATATAGGGAGCTACATCTACAGAGAGAGATAAATGAGCAAATTGCTGATTATCTTGGCTGGTTGATGGGGTCTTGGATGGAAACTGTGAACTAAATCAGGAAACCATTCATCCCCTTTATTTTTTGCATGCTGTCTTTTTTTCTAGTTTATACACAAACTCCTATTGGGACAGACAGTACAAGACTGTAGGAGCATATGGCTGAGGCTGGATTTGACTTGATGGGTAAAAAAAAAGTTTTAGAGAAATAAAGGGAACACAACTGGTTTTTAATATTTATTAACTTTTAATAAAGGGTTATTAATAGAATTTGCATGTAACAGTGGATGTAGTTTGCACTGATCATGATAAATGCTACTATCTATTGCAGAATGATATCTTATAGTCCTATTATCTCTAGTGGTTTCATAAAACAAAGACACCAGATTTCTATCTTTAATAAAAAGAGAGATATGAAAGAGGAAGAGTGTAGTGAATACATTTACAGAATTGTTAAAAAAAAAAAGATGTTATAAAGGAGTCTTGGAAGGAAAAGGATAAATTTTGTAAGTCAGAAAGACCAATTTGAAACCCTTATATTTCAGAATTACAATGGCTGTGGCTGGAAAACAAAGAGGTACTGTAGCACATTGGATCCCAGATTCATCCTGCAAAGTTGTGAACATTGAATTAAATTAATCTACATAACTCCATCAAAAGGGGAGGCAGAGACTGCTCAGATGTGAGCCATAAGCAGAGCCCATCTTCCTCCAGCAGTAGGGAAACTGGGACAGATCTGGGCATTGTTTGGAGAATAGCATACAGCAAGCTGATGTACTCTAGGATATGATACCTTTTCTTAATATTTTCTAACTTAGGTAGCTGTTATTTTTTTTCTTTCCATTTTGTAGATCTGGAACACAGAAGTGTGTATAAACATCAGCAAAATATATAATATACATATGATATGTAAGAAATAGTTGGGAAGTAGGTTGGGATTTGGCTATACTGAACAATGCAGTTGGTTTGTACACATTAGTAGAAGTTAAAAATCATCGTAGTTAGCTCGTTATATTAGTCTGTTGTAGCAGTAGGCAAGAAGGTCTGAAAATACTGTATTGATAAAGAGTGAGTTGAAAGGTAGATCTTGCACTGTAATTCGAAAGCCATGTCTCACATCTAGGGACCTACTGTGTAACCAGGGAACATCCTGGTGCTGTTCAGTTCTTGATCTTAAGGTTTTCGAACTCCATTCTAAAGCAAACTGAGATTTTTTTTTTGGCCCTGTCTATTTCCACTGGATATCTTCCATGAAAGTCGATGGTAAGAAACCTTCTTCTCATTTCCTGCTTAAATTTATTCATGACTGTTTTAAACTTGTCTGTTCTCATACACCATGCATGTATCTTTTAAAGTCAGTAAGAGCCAGGCTGACATCCAACCAGTTCTAAGTTGGTATGAGGGGGAAATGCACAACGTGCTGTCCATGTTATGTGAGGACGATGAGGACATTTTAATAGAAGTGTATCACTCTATGTACTAACATATCCCCTTCCTCTCCCGTCTAAAGGTCCCCAGTGTGCTGTGCCATTTGGTACCTCTTCTATCCTCAATGGAGCTGTGTTCTGTGATGATTCTGGGCAAATGTTGGGCGTTCAGCAATGCCGACTGGTGTGCCGCCAAGGCTACAACAGCGCTGCTTCCAACACGCTGTTCCAGTGCGATGTGCAGAAACATCTATGGATCTCAGCTGCCCCACTCTACCACGCCTGCCAGAGTACGTCTAATTAGCATGGGTTGGGAAGGGCACAGAGCAACATAAAAATATATTCAAAAATCCTTTTCTATCCATCATGAAGTTACAGTGTGAGTTGAAATTATAGGACGCAGTTATGTGGGAGTTTCCGAACTAAGGTGCAGTAGATTAATCCTGTCTTCTGCTATCTTCATCTCTGTACCTGGCTGCTTATGCCAGAAATAGTCCAGCTTTTCCATAATATCTTACTATAAATAGTTATTTAATCTATATGCAGATTTTCCTTTGCAAGTTAAAAGATGCTGGCACCATGAAATGATTCTGATGGAAACACTTAGTTCTGGAAGAACAGATGAGCACCAGATGTTTGAATTTGGAAGAACTTGAATATTTATTTGCACAATCAAGTCAATGTTACTTCTGCATCTTTAGTAGCAGTCTGTTTTTTAGGATTATGGCTTTCATTGGCTGATACAGTATTTTTCAAATCATTTTTCTTTCAAGAAAAAAGAAACAAACCCTTTAAATCTTGGAAGAATAAATTCTCTCTTCTGAGCTCATGTAATTGAGTATTAATATTGGCTTTTCATTTATTTCAAATAAATGAAATAAATAAATGTTGAACTTTAACAAACTTCAGATCCTGATGCCAAGTCTGCAGCTATTCCTCATCTCCAGAATGGATGAGGCTCAGTCTTGAAACTCTGTGTTACCATATCTCTATTCCAAATGTAAACAATGTTAACCTTTGAATTTTGGATTGAGATTTTTGTTTGCCCTTAATCATGTTTTTGACGTTTATGCTATATAATGAGGTAACTTTTGAGTTTGCCTAATGGCAGTTGAATAGCTGTTTATGGGGAGTGTGCAATAATCTAATACAAGTTTCTATTTAATGCAGGCTAAGGGATTTTGCTCAGCAGTTTTGTGTTTAAAAAAGAGAGTGGTTTTAGGGAAAGAGGAAAAAAATTCTAACATCTGATGGTCACTGAACAAACTTCACAATAATGGACAATTCACCACACCACTTTACACACCACATTATCCATTTGTTTCAATGGATAATTACCCACACCCTCAAAAATTTCATTTCCTGTTCCTAATGTGTACACGTACAGCTTGTGGTTAAATCAGCTCTTATCTACTGTCCAATAAACTAAACAGACAGAGGGCTTTGTGCCTTTCAGGAAGAAGCAGGTTTTTGTGCCCTTTGGTCCTTCCATTACTCGCTTTGGACTCTTTCGAGGTTTTTTTTTACATTTGTTTAGGGAGCAAGCAACTGGGAATTGTGCTCCATGAAGTGACACTTGTACACAGTGCAGTGAGGATCTGTAGAGGAGCACAATGAGAGAGAGCTCTGCCACTTTTCCATGATGATGGGACATGAGCCAACTCCATTTGGAGTCTACGTGATCATATCACCCCTGTACTGAACCTGAGAGAACAAAGTCCTCAAGAACCCTGTGATCAGGATAACCCCAGTGGAGACAAAAAATTTTCACCTTTTTGATTCTTCCTGCCTAAGAACTGTCCAAATAGATTTTCATTTTGAGATTTATGAGTCCATCATTTTCTCAATAGTTTGTGTGATTTGCCTTGCTACTAAAAGATCAGAAGGCACTTGAAATGTCCATGTCAGAGCTATCATTATGCAATCAAATTTATTCTCTCTCAAAGCTTGATCTCAAGTTAATTTGACAAGCGAGGCTTCTGAAGGGCCATTTGAATTAGTATTAATTGTTATAATGATTTTATCTGAGAAAAGTGAAGGTTTATAGGTCAATAATTCTTTTTTTTCTGTTTCTTTTTTGCTTGTTGGCATAACATTAGCAGTTCTCTGGAAATTTATATCTGCCAAGTCTTATAATTTCCCTTATCATTCTGTGGGTTAGCAATCTCTTTATTGTTTAACTATTACACCTGGCTTTCTCTGTAGTGCACAGCATACACATTTGCCAAGCACACTCTTCTGACAACTCTACTATTTCCACCAGGTTTTCACATGCTATTGATGAAGATCAAAATGAAATTCAATGTCATCTTTTTGAAGTAACTTTGAAAGTCAGTTTCTACGTTGAATAGTGAAGCTAATAAATGCCCTTCTATTTATTTTTAGAGCTCCAATTATTTCAGACAGTCCAAGCTCAAACACACTTCCAGCTCCTGCTACCTCCTCAGAAGACCTGTAGTTCTGACTACTCTGGATTACTTCAGGCATTCCAGATATTTATTTTAGATGAATTGAAGGCTCGTGGTTTTTGTCACCTCCAGGTAATTTCAGTTCCTTATTCTTTGTTGCTTAGATAATAAAATTAAAAAAAAAAAAAAAAGAAAACTGTATGAAAGAGAGTAGAATTTTGCATCTGTAAAATAGAGGTAAGAGCAGAAAACACCGTGAAGTCTGCCAGGACTGACAGCATATGAAGGACAAGGAAAGCAGGAGACTTAGACTCGCTGTCCCCATGTTGGGCAGATCAGATTAATGGTAGCCATAGAAGTCATTAGTCCAATATTTATTAAAATGTGTTGTGATGGAAGTGAACCTTTTTAATCTTGTTTTACACTTGTTTTTACAAGCCCTTTTGAAAATATTGCCTTGAGCATATCACAGTGCAAATGAGCAGAGGAAGACCAAGAACTAGGAGATTTCTAAGTCTGACTAACTTTAATTTCATTTAATTTTGAATTCAAGGTAAATGCTTTTGGAAACACTGGCTCAGTTTCTGTCTGTGACGATTCCTCTGTCTACGTTGAATGCCTGAGTGTGGATCGCCTGGGGGTGAATGTCACATGGAGGGCTCTGCTGGAAAACATCCCAGCAGCTTCTCTCCCTGACTTACACGATATTGGTAAGTTTTTCCCCTGATGTTTCTGTTTATCAAACCTTCTTTGCTTCCTAACCGTGTAGTTTCCCTCTGTCTGCTCTTAGGAGGCAATAAAAAGGCAGTGCACACAAATGCTCACTGAAAGAATCATTTTAACACTGGAGTTTTTTCTGAGCCTTTGGTGTTATATTTCTCTTTTCAGCCTGTGACTACAGAAAGAAAAGACGATATAATTGAGTATTTCTTTCAGATAGCACTGCCTCTCCCAGATCCTTTAACAGGAAAATTAGATTAACTGTTATGAGCTAAACTGATCTAGAGGTTAATTTCCATTGGGCAGACCTTCCATAGTGGAAAATATTATGTTCCTTATTAGATTGGACTCGGAGAAACACAATTCACACATTGCACAAAAAGAGGACCAATTCCTTGAAAGTACGTGTGTGTGTATTTTTTTTTTCCCTTTTCTTTTTATGGCCTTACATTTGACAGGGAAGAATGATCCTTACCTCAGAAGTCCTAAAGCAAGTATGCAGTCCATTGACTGGTGGATCTTCACTGTGGTTTAAAAGTGAGCTTGAGATGGTGTAAGGAGCTTCTTTCAAAGCAGTCAGCATTTCCTCTTAAAATAAAAGAAGAAAAAGACACATCCCAACTTCAAATGCCCTCTGTGCCAGCATTTCTCTAGTTTCCTGACTTTGCAATGATGTTCCCAGAAATAAATATAAAAAATCCTGCCTGCACATGTTCTTCTCTCTAATTCTGAGACACAGAGACGTGACATACAGCCTGATCAGAACCAAGTTCAAAAACCTTCAGGACTTGAGTAGTGAGTGCACTGATCATGTGTGGTTCCTGGCTATATTGTCTCTTTATGTTTGCATTCATTCCGCTGTACGAGATTATAAAGGAAACATAAATATTAACTGGTTTGTAGAAGGTGGATCAAAGTATGGTTTAGTTTGGGTTTATACAGAAGTTTACATCTGAAAGCATTCTGTTTTGAAGACGTTGCATTTTTTACCCTCTCAACGCTATAATTTCCCCATAGTACTAAAACTGCTCTTCAGAGAATTACTGTACCATTTCAGAAGAGGCAGCAGTCTAGTCTAGGGAGATCAGACAGCCTGCTGTCCATATACTCTTGGTACAATCAATTTCCATTATATTTTAAAGCAGCTTTGGATCTTTCTCTTTGAACAATTTTATGCATCACCATATTTATACACATTGAGTGGGTAAATTGACTCTCTGATTTGAAAATCTATATTATTAAAATAGTTTTGATCTTTTCCTAGCTTCTTTATGAACAAAGGAGGAGTTTTGCTTTCCTTTTTTCCTGCGGTGATGAAACTGAGAAAAAAAAATGCTAAACAGAAGCACAGAACATGCATGTGTTCTCAATGAAGAACCTCAGTTCTAAATCATCATTGTGAATGTTTCATTACATTTTTTCTTACACATATGTTCATGTATTAAATTCTGAGGCTGTGCAAATATCTTTCTGAGATGATGCCATTTGACTTGGCATCTTAAATCTTAGTTCCAAAATCCTGAGGAAAACTCACAGAAATTTCTCTCTATTCAACAAGCAAAACTAGAAATTATTATAAAAATAAACTTTTTTTGGATGGGAATATAGTAGACTGTTCCCATCAGTGACATTGGAGGAAATCAGTCACAACATTGAGACATTCCATGGCTTACCTATTTGCCATGCATGAACATGTATATTATAGTTCTATGCCTGTTAATATATACAGCCCATAAAATATACCATATAGATGTAGACCCATGCACCCCCACAGGAACTTCATATTTATTGATAGTGTTATGAATGATTCAACACAGAAGGATTTTTTAAGTAAAGGAAATTCAGCAGACCTATGTGGGTACTTACTGGTTTGACTCTTTGCTTCTTTTCTATGTGTGAATTCCCTCCAGCTGTCATTTCTAGGTTATTTTGAATTCTTCTACAGCTAGTTACAAGAAAATTCAGAAAGATATTTGCTTGAATAAAAGACTAATCTGCTTGTTTCTGCTTTCAGTTATGAGATAATTTCTGGCAAAACTTTTGCAAAGTGTTACTGGTTGTGTGGCAATCTCCATTTATTTTCTCACAAGCTAAGTATCAATTTGGCTTGAGGTTGAACACAATTGCATGCTATTTTTTTGTTGTATTATGTGTCGGCACAGCAGAAGAGTAAGTTGCTCAAAGCTGGAAGAAACAGAAAACTGAGAATATGAACAGCATAGCTGGAGTTTTATACCTACCTGTGAAATTCTCTCTTCACTCTCAGGACTGAGACCCACCCATGGGTTACTGTGCAAAGTAGGGAAATTCACCATGTGAGAAGGCAGCAGTACCCTCATCTATTTCCCTTAAATGCGTCAGTCACAACATAATAATCCTTGTGCAGTGTGTGAGGTGTAACATTCCTCACACTCTTTTTACGTATATAACATCCTCCCTGTGAAAATTCAATGTCCAAGGTCATTGGTGTGCTTGCAAACCTGAAGTACATAGTGTGCAGGACTTCCCATTTGCTGGGTTACAGGGCTGTACACCACCTGTAGCTATGGGAGGTCTTCATAATCTGTACCAACATTTAGGTCAGTGCCATGAGGCCTGCTGAGATTCACAGAACATGTAAAGCACAAAAAATTCTCTGCGAACACTGTTCCTTGTAGTACTTCTGGTGCAGCCAAGTGGGGAACTCACTCTTTCTCTTATGCTGGAAACTGTCCTGAAGCAAGTAATCAGAAAGAGAAGTTGCCTGGAAAACTAAGAATATGGGAAGCATGGGTAGATGCTCACTTATTTACAGCTTTAAACACCAGCTTCAGCAGCTGTGAGGGGAGTGCCTATTGGATCAGCAGTGTGACAGAAACTGATCATCATATAGTTACGAATGTCTTCAAAACCAAATAAATAAAATGCTACATACAGAAGAACCAAATATAGCCATTGAAACAAAAGAAAGAAATTAAATCACATTTTGTTTTCTGGTACTTTAACTTTTGCACTTGCTATTTTTTCTTTTGCCCTGCCATGACCTGAAGGTGGACTAGATAATCTTTAAAAATACCTTCGAACCCAAACCAACCTATTATTCTATTAGCCTGCTGGAGTTCAAGAGATGTTTGGACAGTGCCCTCAGAAATACGGTTTAATTTTGAGTAACCTGTGTGGAGCCAGAAACTGGACTTGATGATCCTTGTGGCTACATTCTAACTGAGGATTCTAACTGATTCTATGATTATTGCATTAGCACTTCTACATATACTAAATGTAAGACTTCAATGCTGTAAGCACTACACACATTCATTCTTTTCTGCTGTTTGCTAGCATGCTTGTATTTTGTATTTGAATCTGCTGATGCTGATAGTTAATATAATGTTTATTACTCTTTATTTTGTTATCCATTTCCCCACAAAAGATCTCCTTCATATTATTTTCTTACATTATTTCCTTTAGAAAATGCACTTGTTGGAGAAAAACTCATTGGAGCATTTATTAAAGAGATTGAGGATGGTCGTTTTCTGCTATATTTAGACTCCAAGCAATTTCCAGCAGATTTGTTCATTGATTTTCCCCAAGATGAAGAGTTTGATTTGTCTCCAAGAGTGCAGCTGGGATGTAGAAGCGGGTTTCGAAGAATTTCATCTCCTGGGAAAATCGTCCCAAATGCACAAGGATGTGGTATGCCTCAGTTTAGCTTTCCCTTCTTTGATTATGTTAGGGATTGATATAAAGGTACAGTTCATAAGTTATCAGCAAGATTGTGTTTATGCTTAATAAGTCAGAGGCATAAAGACAGGAATTATTACTTTGGTTACTGTTTAGTCCTTGCATTGTAGATGGATTGGAACCGATGATTTAGAAGTAGACTTTCTGGAACTGACACTGTATGGAACATTTATTGGGATGTTTTTAGATCTGTCTGGTATCAGAAGGTCCTTCTTTATTGCACACAATCCTTACTAAGAAGCAAAGTCAGTGTTTTGTATGATTATACACTACCCAGAATAGAAACCTAGCTACAGAAATGGCAGAAATCTTGAGTCTGAGAATTCTTGGGCCAAGTCCCAGCCAGCTCACATGGAAGCTTTCTCTGTGCTGGCCAACAGCCAGACCTGATTGCAATTCTCCCCTTTTTTCATCTTCTTTCCTTCTGTTTAGTCTACTTCCCTGGAATGGGCTGTCTTTCTGTCAACATCCTGTTCAGGGCTGCCAAGCCTACCTCTTCACAGGATCCCTGTGTATCACCAAAAACCCTCTGCCTTAACAGCACTGCTCGTATTTCCATTTGTATCAACCATCCTACAGAGCAACCCTCATTGTTCTTGTTGACCCAGTTAGCCTCAGTGATTCTGTGCCTTTCTGATGTCATACATTAATTTGTACACAGGATACATTAATTTTGTCTAGCTCTTTTGGAAACTGATAGGGATAGGTATAAGAGCAACAACAGAGAGTATGGGATACATTTTCTCAAATGTGGAGTTTTTTAAATGGGTGATGTATGGGTCTATGTTATGTAGCTTAAGTTAGAGATCCTAAGGACAAATCAAGGCACATGAAAAGAACTTAGCTCTGTGCTTGGTTTGGTGGTTCTCTACAAATTAGGAGTGCTTTCTAATGTTCAGCTGATTACAAGAACAAATGTCTTTCAATTGCTGCTGTCAAGGGATTTGAAAAATAATGAATAAAGGAAATATCTGTGCTCTTGTGTCTGTAAACTTAAAACCAGATGGATTAAGTGCAGGCAGCAAGCTAGGGAAGCTCAGCTTGAGTTTATGCATGTTTGTGAATTTTGCAGCTGCATTCAGGTACATATTGTTGTCGATAATAGGAGGAGAATAAAAACTGCTCATATGTTTTGAAACCAAAGTGCAGTTACTGTGGCTGAAATGCTGATGTACCTGAAGTTAAATGATCACTTTGTACATAGGCCTTGCATGCTGCCAGGTTCCCATTTGGTTTGAAGGCTTCTGCTTTGGAGCAAAGAGGTTGCAGGGGAGAACTATATTGTAGGGATCTTCTAAGCTCAGTAGCATTTAACTTTAGCTGCCATTTCTGTTACCTTTTAGGAATGATCTCAGAGCAAACAATAAAACAAATGACACTGTATTTTTTTCCCACAGAAAATACCACTGAAAATTTCTGCAGTTATTGTCATCATCATATTTTTCTTTCTCATATAATTAAAAATGAAAATATAGATTGTTATGTCTTTAACTTGGTAGCTTGAATGAGAATAAATTGGATGTAAATATTTTCATTTCTTGAATTCCTCCCAAATTAATCACTCTTGATTTTTATATGTTAAAAAAGAGAAAAAAAGCAGTGTAATAAGTAATAGTGCAGTGGCGGATGTGAAGCACTGAAGGTGTTACCTTGCTAATAGTTAGGATATTGGCAGATTTTTTTTGTTATTTTAGATGTTATGTGATTTGAATCCTGGCAAAAAGTGCTGAGAGAGAAGCCTTCAAATCTATGAACTTGTCTGTGCTCAACCTCTGCCTTTTCTCTCTACTCAGAAGAGTGAGTGTGATACCTTCTGTGTGTTAAACTGTATAGTTAGCTTCAAAGGTGGTATTCCATAAGAGAAAGAGCATTGCTATGGAGTTGTATACCACCTTCCCCTGCATCGCATGTCTGAATTTTACTGGCCTCTACCTGAAGGTCTCCCTCTGACAGCATCTCTGTGTGAGGTTTGCCAGAGTGTAAAGTCAGTATGGGACTGACACTGGCCTGCTCCCTACAGAAATGGGCACCTTCTAGCCAGTCTTGTGAAGAGGGTAGACCTGAGTTGGATGGATCTTACATTTCTGCATGAAAGGAGTACCACAGAGCTATGTAGCAGCTTTCTCTTGAGAATTTACTAGCATAACCATTTAGTTGATGTGTAATTAAATTACGTAATGATATAATTTGTGACTAAAGGAGTTTACTAGAATTGAAAAATAGTAGTACATATGAAGGGCAGTGTGTGCTGTGCTCAATTGCATAACACCATTATTTAGAGGCAAGTCAAGCCAGTTTCAAAGATGAGCTACTTTGCCTTTGTATTAAGCATGGCTTTTTGGACAGGCAAGGCTGAACACCAGATAGCAGATTTTGTTAGTGTATCTGGTCACTTTCCTACCGTCAGCATTGAAGACATGCTTTTAAGGAAAGGACTTCAAAGGGATCAAGGTATGAATCAGCTCTGAGCTACTGCTGTTCTCAGCTTGGACCTGTAAGGGTAAATTGACTGCAGTTTTAGTTCATCTCTGTGGTCTGCAACACTTCGAATTTTGGTTATTTAAACATGCCGTGCAGAAAAAGATTAATTCTTACAGAGAATCCAGAGTAAGTAACAACTCTCTGTTACTTAACAAGATGTACTGTTGTACAGACTAAAGGTATCATTATTTGTTAAGTGAAATCCATCACAAAAGAACTTGCAGTGAACTGTATCTTTAAGCCAAATATTTCCTGCCAGGGATAGAGGCCTTCAGGAAGCGCTGAATTAATTTGCCTTGTAAGTCAGATCATGTGTATTTGTACCAGCTAGATGTAGAGAGAGGCACTCAGTAAAGCCAACATCAGAGAAATGTGGGAAGGAGATGGTTTATCTTCCAGATTTTGGCAGAAATTTCTTATTCTAAGATGTCAGAGGACATGCTGGACTGTTTTATGTTGTAGGGCTGAACATTTTATTTAAATGTTGGAGTTAGGAATTCTGTTTGTTGTTCTCCAGTGATGCAGTATTTTGTTTTTTGTTTGGTTTAGTTTTATTATGTGCATTATGGATAAGTAATCTGGTCATTTATCCTGTTGGGATCTATTTCTCTTCTTCTCCTCTCTCACTGTTTATTTCAGGAGGAAATCTTAAAGCTCGTTGTGATTTACCTTTGTTTTACTGCACATTTTTATGTTCACTCCTTTTATTATTTAGAATGCTTGTTATATTCTATCAGAACTGCTTTGACCAGAGCATAACCCAAATCAAAAACAGCACTGGATTTATAGCCAAGCTAGCAGCTCAAGTCTTCATTAGTTATTGATGGAACCAAGAATCTGGAATCCCACCAATCTCCTCCTGGAGGGAGGAGAGAGCAGTGCAAGCATTGAGTAGTAATCAGCTGTAATAATTTTTAAGCATACTCAGTGTAGGGAGAGCTGGTCTTAAGCAAAATGAGGCTTTTGTGAAGGGCATTATCCCATTGCTTTGGAACTGCTTTGCCATTCTTCAATTAGTTGCTCTTTAGCCTGGAAATTGCTACTCAGTATGTTGTTCCCTTGGTATGCAGAAGCCTTAGTTGGCTTAAAAGCAAGGCCAGGTTACAGATCTTATGTGCTGCATTCAGGGATTTAATTTGGGAGCATTTTTAATTTTTATTTTATTAGTTTTGTTTTATTTTCATATTTTAGGGAAATTAAGTTTGAGTCCATTGGTAACACTTAGCTCTGAGATAGCCTTAAGGCTATCCTCTAGTTTCTTACCTTGTTAAAACATATCTACATTAAAGCTTGCGAGAGTTGAGTTTGATGGTTTGTCTGACTTTCAGAGTCACACACTTAACATGAGCACAGGGGGATTAACTTAAAGCTGATGTTATACATGCTTTCAAGAGCTGTGGATTCTAGAAAACATCAGTTTCTGCACCAATGTTTTGCTCTTTTTTTTGCTGTTCTTCATGTCTTTTTTGTTAATCTAATGTGAGACAAAAAGTTGTTCTACTTTCTTAAAATGTGATTAGACACAGATGTTACATCTGCATCATGACCATAACTACAGAAAGAGGAAGAGGCTTTGAAAACTTGATTTCTTCTTTTATAAAATTGAATTGCTTAATTTGTCACTCCTATCCTTTGCATTTTGCCTGGATTTAGGCATGGATTACTCATTTCATTTTATTTTCTTCTACTGCTGTTCATTTGAAATGCTTATGATCCTTTTTGCATGTGTTGGAAAATGTCTTTAAAATGTATCAGACACACTTGTATATTAAGCAATATGCATTAGAAAGTGGAATACTGTCTCATCCAGGATTTTTTTTGGTTCTTTAGTGGGTTTTAGATATGTATTATAACTACTTGAGAGGAAAAAAAAGTCAGCCTCTCTGTTGTCTCATCCTGGAATTTCCCATTGGACCATTTAGAGGAAGTGAAGGAAGATATGATCATTGTGATGCTAGCTGTCTTTTTAATCTGTTATAATTCAGGTGCTTCAACAAGTTAAATTAGTTTACATTCCCATGTGCTGGCTAGAGCAGAAATTCATCATATGAGTTGTAGTGGAGATGGCCAATTTTCCATCACAATTTCTCTCTAATACAAGCTTAAACGGCTGTCAAAATGCAAGGCGAGAACAGAAATGAAGTTTTGCACCTTGTCAAAGTCCCAAAATATACATTTGATAGTGTTTTGAAGGAAAAGTGCATCTGGAAAGCAGCTGTGAAATAACGTGTAAAGGTATTGTCCTGCAAATATATCTGTGACTCTTCTGCTTTAATGATCATCTGAATGATCTGGAGGGAAAGATGGTATTGCATGACCTCCCAGAAGACAAAGAGTTTTCTTTGGAATATGCAACAGTTCAGCTGGAAATATTACTTCTGAAAACATAATTTTCAGAACAATCCTATTTTCAGCCTAAGGATATCTGTTTGTTTTGTATTGGGGTTGTCATGTGCACAACTAGTGACTTTTAATCCAGCCATTTCTGTTTAGCTTGGAAGTACTTACAAAAACTTCTCTACTAGGAATTCTGAATGAAATTGTTACCAGATGGTGAATTTCTCTACAAAGTTTTTGGAATTTTTACTCACTGGAGTCTTCCTCTTTCTGCCTGTAGTTTCTGAGGAAGTGACTCTGTTTGTAGCTTCAGTTCCTTTCTTTTCTTTCACAAAGTGCATTATCTTATTATAAATGGGTTTGACAGTATTCAGCTGGAAATCAGGCCTGTACTTGGTTTTTCCAAAGAGTGTGTAGTGCATTATTTCAGGAGTGTTTTTAGGATGATCTGAAAATAAGAAGCCATAGTATATATTCCAGGCAATAGTGAGTTTAATGAATATTTAAGGAACATTTTGGTTTTGTATTTTTTCTGTATTATTCCACTTAGAAACACATATATTAAAGGCTTGAAACCTTAGAAAGTCTACCAGCATGATAAATATACAATCATTCACGGGTGTGCAAATGCCTGAAATGGTTGGATTCCATAAGAATAATGATGTTGTTCTGTTTGCAGTTGTTTGTCCTCCAGGCACTAATTTCCAGAATGGTGAATGTATTCCCTGCCCTCTTGGCTACTATCAGTATCAGACAGGACGTTTATTTTGCATCAAGTGTCCTGTGGGCAAAACTACCAGCTCTTATGGGGCATTCAGTGCTGATGACTGTAAGTTGAGTCCATTTTTCCCTTTGTATTTTGACTTCAAATAACTGATGAATATTATTTTCATCTGTCAGGTTGAAAATAAATCCTTTCTCATTTTTTTTTTTTTTACATTTTTTTTTTAATGGATATAATCCTTTCTGCATATATTAAAAAATGTTTTTCAAGGATAAAATGAACTGTCTGGTGTTTAGATCAAATATGTGTGAGAAATGAGTGGTCAGTCTCATCCAGGATGTTGTGGTTCTTTGAGACATGTTCATTGTCCTGTGGAAAGACATCTGGGTATTCAGTCAGCAAGAAACATCTGATATAGTCAATTTATTGGCATTCTCTTGAATATTAAAGGAGTCTTTGCCTAGCTCTTTCAAGACCCAGCTTTGGTACAAACACTTCTCAAAGTTGATATATTCAGTAAAGTTAGTGTATATATTTTAAATTACTTTTTTTTTTGGAAGCAGTTCTATAAAGAATAGCACTTGTTAAGCTCATGGATAAAACTAAAAGTAAGTAATCACACTAAAGACTTGGTATTATGAATGAGTACAGGAACTGCTTTGATTTGTTCCAGTCTATGTATTCTCTTGGGTGAGATAAAACAGAAGGTTTATAATCACCCTAAAATGAATCTATTTTTTGCGTAAAGAAGTCATCAGACTGATTTGTCACCTTCATTTCTGTATCTGTGTTCTCAGTGTAGGTATTGATCTCATGTGCTTTGTTGTTTATACATTAGGGATTGAAAAGTAGTTAGGAAGATGCTGCTAATTTAAATCAAAGTCTTTACTCTTTAAGAAAAGAGAGTTAACACCATATTTCCCACCAACAGTGGTTTTTTTTGTTTTGTTTTGTTTTGTTTTGTTTTAAGTAACAAATAAATTGTTGTGATGCCTCTTGTGGTGTTCTTCATAACATTTAATGGGTCCATTGCAATAAGCACTGAATAAGCCTGTGTGAAAATATAGTTCCTTCTCTATACTTCTCTGCTTTACAGAACTTATAACAAAGGATGTTGTATGCATACAGAAAATCCCACAAATGTTCCAAATGTGATTTACCGAGAAAACAAAGAAGTGAGAGAAGCATATCTTAAAGAATAAAACATCATATAAATTAAAGATTAATATTCAGAAAAGTTTCTGTTGTACTTAAAGTTTTTTGTTCTGTTGATGCTTCAAAACCCACGGACAACACTGTCAAACCTGTCCTTTTTTCACCCTGTTAACAGGTATTACTTACTGTCAAGGCAATGAGCAGGGTTTGCAGTGTGATGAGGATGGCCAGTATAGGCCTTCCCAACAAGACCCTGATACTAAAAAATCCTTCTGCGTTGATGACTTTGGAGCATCTCTTGATTGGACTGAAACAGATGATCTCCTTACAGACGATGAGTGCTTAGGTAAGTACCAGAATGATATTTGGACATGTTTTTATCCAATGTAAGTGTAGCTGCCTTATGAAATGACCCAGTGCTCCACAGCTGATTTGCCAGCATACTCATTTTCCCATACTTGTGGCCTCTGCCTTCAGCCACATTGCTCCTTACTTCTGTTTTTCCATGACTGGATTGACGAAGTCATTTCCTGTAAGCGGAGAGAGATTTCTTTCACTCTCCAATGGCTGACAGTTTTTTATATATGATGATCTCTTGAGCAGAAGAATAATGAGTGGGCTAAGGGGAACAAAGCAGAATGATGAATTTTGCTGTAAAATTATCACTCATCCATGTGATCCTGTAAAACAGACTATGTTTTACAATGACTTCATAGCTGTGGCATAACATCACTGTCTGGGCTCATGCTTTATGGTATTTGACTTGGTGAACATGTCCTCGCAAACTGGGGAAATTTCCCTCTGCTTGAACACAATTGTGAAATTGCAGTTCTCAAACAATTTTGGAAAACAAAGTTAAACAAACAATAAAACAAGACAAAACGGGGAAAAAAAACCAACAACACTATTGCCCTGCAAAAAAAAAAAAAAAAAAGAAAAAAAAAATCAGCCATGATATTCCAAACATTTACCTAATTCTCCACTACTTCTGGAGGAGCCCTTGGAATAGTTGAAGTGGAATTCAGAAAAAATGAAATAGAGGAGATGACAGAAAGACAAAGTAGAAAGTAATCTGTTGGAAATCCAAAGGAAAAGATGCAAAATGAGGGCTTCATCAAGCTGGATGTTGTACATGTAAGCATCTGCTAGAGATCTATCACTGAAGTCATCCATCAAACAGTCCCTAGACTGCTTGCAATGAGGTTTAACTATGACCCTCAAAACCAAAACTTCTCCCTTTCCCAAAAATTAGTCTTCCAGCATATTTTATATTCATTATATAATTGGCATCAAATTTAATGGAATATTCACTTTAGAAACTGATGTTATGTTGAGCTCTGAATTAGACACTTTTTATCTTTTCTCTACTTTTCCCCCATATTACTGAAGTAGAGAAAATGGAGGAGTGGAATATCAGAAGTAAAAATTTAAACACAAAAGCAAAACAAGCAAACCAAAAAGAAAAATAATAGAGAAGCATTCAAAGTGCTTCCAATTTTGAATTAGAAATGAGGGCAGCAAACCATTGCAAACAATGTAAAAATATAGATTCTTTTCATTTTTATGAAAATATGTACATTCTGTTTTCAACTGGGCATCACTGAACGTTGCAGATGTAAAAGCAGTTCAGTTTACTGTAGAATTAGGCTAATGCTTATACTGTGTTTTCCTGTATTCCTCAGAAGGAAAAAACCTTCCAGCTCTGTTTATGCCTCTCCCCAGTTGCACTGGAGTGCAAGAACCTTTTTTTTTTTTTTTTTTTTTTTTGAGTTGAGTTTTTGGCTAGCCCTTATGTTCTTTCTGAGCAGAAATGATGGTTTTATCAAAAGCACCTGCTCACTCAACCCTGACAACACTGGACATTTGCTTCTGATTTAGCCCGACTATTTTGCTGCAGGAGTACAAATGATTGTTTTAAGAACTTATCCCTGAATTTTATTTTGTGGTTTATGCACTCGTTGCAGGGAGAAAGGCCTGGGATCTTCCAGCTGAACCTCTGTGTTTGAGTGTGCAGGGAAGTAAAGGGCTGAACCTCCAGCTCTTCTACTGGCAGATATCTCACATTGGCTGAGATTGAACCAGGACTCTCCTGCTTTTTAGCTCTTTAAGGTCTAGGTCAGGTGCAATGAGCCAAAGGTCTGAATTGGCTTGATGAGACTGCAGAAGAGGAGGCTGAAGGGAAAGCTTGTTTTACTCTACAACTACAATAAAGAAAGCTGTACAGGGGAGGTTGTTGGTCTCTTTTCTCAGATGACAAATGTCAGGATGTGAGGAAATGGTCTCATGGTGCACTAGAGGAAGTTTAGACTGGATATCAGGAATAATTTTTTCACAGAGAGGATGGTCAAGTATTGGAATAGGCTTTCCAGGAAAGTGATGGAGTCTGCATCTCTGAGTATTAAAGAGACGTGTGGATATGGCAGTAAGGGACATGGTTTAGTAATGGGACTCAGTAGATCAGATTGGTGGTTGACTTGGTGCTCTCTAAGGTCTTTGGCAACCTAGATCATTCTATGGTTAGAATGTATGGAATTTTGAGTAGAAGCCTGACAAGACAGGGTTGAAGTCACCACATTCTTCCTTTCTCCTTAGCATGTTGTGCTCACTGAAAGCTATTAGTTTGTCAGCTGATGGACACACTGTATCAAAAAATCTGTATAAGTAATAATATTACTTATATAAACATATATAATATAAAAATAAGAAACCTGAGCAGAGAGGTTGCAATGTCTCTCTGTGTCCCTTCACTGTCTATAAAATTCTTCAGGGCATGGCCAAGGCCAAACCTGAGCTTAAATGGATACTTGTCCGCATTTGGTGACCTCTGGATTTTGCATCATAGAATCATAGAAATGCTCGGTTGGAAAAGACCTTAAAGATCATTAAGTCCAACCACAACCTGGCCACAATACCCGAACTCTAACAACCTGCTGCTAAACCCCATCTCTAGACCCCATGAGCTTTTCCTAATTGGTGAATAGTCTTGCTTGATGGGCTTCCTTACACACATGTGCAATGTGCAGCTCAGAGAGAGTAGATTTAAATCAAGTGACAGTCTGTAGGAAAATGTGAGGGTGTCAAAAAGGAGCATGCTGACTACACTACCTACAACAAATCCCCAAGCTTTAAGTTAGTGGACAACAATGGTTGTACGCTCCTAAACATGAGAATTAAGTTCCTAGATATCCTTTGTAGCCAAGTTCTGTTGGAGCTGACTTTTATTTCAGTGACTGTTTTTCAGAAAGTTGGTTCCCTTGTTGACTCAGTAGTTTATTCTGTACCATGAGCAAGTAATCGGAGACAATCAGTCTGCTGCTGGCAGGGAAGTCTCACTTGAATATAAACTGCCAGCTAACTGCTCCTCTGGCTAACTGCTTTTGAAAGATATTGTCATGCTGTCATGCTGTTTTTGCAGAATAGAAATACATGCCCTTATGAAAGTCCCTCCTCAGCCTTCCTGTAGCCTTCCTTCGTTCCTATTGTCTCCTTTGTTGAGTCAGAGTGCATCATTTAGTAAGTTATTTCCCTTATAGAAGTCCTTAATTTTTACTTCTAGCCAATGTCTCCTTGTCTCTCTGCAGCATGGGAACTGATATTTGTGTCTTTGGTTTTTAGTGCTCAGAAAATTCGAGAGAGTTCCTGCCTCTACATTCGTTTATGGGTCAGACAAAGTTCAAATTCTCAAATCTCGGTCATTTGGGAGAGTCCTACAAAGTCTAACTTTTCAATGCATTTCAGGTAAGGAAAACTGTCAGAAAATCTTCACAGACAATAGGAACCACCTTGGAGAATTCTGAATCCTTTTGTATGATGAACTTATGGATAAGGTCCTAGATGAACTATGTCTCTCGCAGTTCTGTGCTAGCTTACTGCTAATTTAGTTCAGGGAGGAGATTGCTTTTTCTTTTAGAAAGAAATCTTATGACCTTATGTTCCATTTAGGCAAGTCATTTGAGTTTAAATCCAGTTTGCAGTATGAATGAGAGCCAAGATTCAAACCAGGAAACATTCATCAGACTTTCCAGATACTTAGACAAAAAAGAAGAATTAGATGTTCAGCCCACGTGAAAATCAGGTTCTTTGTCTCTTCCCAGATTATTTGGTTGCTATATTAACAAGGAATAAAAACCCTTGCTTACATACGAAGGATATTGTAAGGAGTGCAGATGTATTCCTCTGCTGAGTCTTACAATGTACATAAAGTATTGCCTTTGGACACATCACATTTGCTGGCTTATGTTGATTCAAAGTTATCTAAAACCACAGTTGCACTGCTTTAAAGCTACCTCGCCTTGTGTCTCCTAATGCAGACTTGTGAAGATAGAGATAGAGGTGTAGCATTCAAAATAAATACACCCTTGCTCTAATAACAAGGATAGCCTGTGACAAGGGCTAATATTAAGCACTGGTCAAGTTTTGAAGCAAGCTGCCCAGGAAGCAACGGAGTTATCATCCCCGGAGATGTTCATGTATTGTATAGATGTAGCAATTAGGAACATGGTTTAGTGATTAAAAGTATTCTGGGAGTACACACAGGGCTTCATAGATTCAGTTAGTATAAGATCTTTTGCACCTAGCTTTGAAACTGAAGATACTTAAAAGCAAGGCATTTCAGTCATGAACTTAGGAAGGAATCACAGAATGGGCCGGGTTGGAAGGGACCTCAAGGATCATGAATCTCCAACCCCCCTGCCACTTTGGCAAGCTATGTATTCAATGCATGTAATTTGTATTTTCATTATAAAAGAGAAGGTTGCATTTTCTTTCTTTTTTTTTTTTTTTATTAAAAGATTGAAGCAACAAAGTGAATAGCATATGAGCTTATATTCACTGCTAAACTGCAATGCCAGTCTAAAATATTACTGTATAGGATAGGAATAGCATTCCCTTTCTGCTCCTGTGCAGTCATATAGTTTAGTTTATATTCTGATGGTGTTCTGGTCTAAACTGTTTTATTTTATGCAACAAATATTTGGAAACAATTTTGCCTCCTGTTTTAGCAGCAGAGCTGTGGGAGCCTATTGGTGGTGGTAGCATATAGGCAAAAGGATCTTCAGCCACTCATAACTTTGGAAGGGGATGGCTGCTCACTGCCTTACACTAATCAGCAGGCATGTTTTCAGAATTTCATGTTCCATTACCTTCTATCACGCTGATTTTGACCACAGCCTGTTTGCTGTGGAGTTACTGTCACGTGCAGATATGCTGAGTGGTTTGTGTGAGTCTTCCCTACCTTCCACAGGCAAAATTATCCAGCAGACTTTAAATATTTAGTTAAGTGGTTAGACTTAATTCATCTGTTGGTGAAGAATGACCAAATACATTTTATATCATTTAATTTGAAAACTTAATGCTATACTAAATGGTTGAAAGCCAAAGTCCATCTGGCATGTGAAACTCATGTGCTTGCAGTCTTATAGAGGTATGAAAAATTAGGTAAATGGCAGAAGACAGAGGAATTTGTAGCAAAAATTGTAGGTATGAAATACTATGAAACTTAAGGTTTCCTCTTTGTTTTTCAGACTGTGATAAGGAAGAAGCTTGCAGTTTTGCTGCTGTAACCCCTGCTGGTGCTGAAATATTGTGTGATTTATACAGTGCTGCTGAAGTCAACTTCAACTGCACCCCCTCTGGATTGGTAAAAACTGGGATATTTAAAAATCTGTTTACTGTAATACTATAGGTGAAATATAAGTAGAAGGTATCACAAAAGAAGAGCGGGCAATTATCTGGTTCCTTGGATACTGTGTAATACATTCCTTCAAGCTGGCAGAGAAACTACAACCAGTCATTGCCAAAAGTGGCACTGAATGCCTCAATGTTTCCATGAAACAGCACAGAGTAATTCTCTTCTTAAAACATATTGAACCCCCGCAGACTGAATATCAGGTTAATTTAAAAAGTGCTTTCATCTGAATAGTCAGAACTAGAAGCAACTGGGTCAGTAACCATGTCACCTGAATGGTCATCATTTCTTAGTCCCTTCCTCTTGTCCAACCTTTGAGTCAAAGGCTTTTAGAGGGTGGTGACGCACTGGAACAGGTTGCCCATGGAGGTTGTGGATGCCCCATTGCTGGAGACATTCAAGGCCAGGCTGGATGTGGCTCTGGCAACTCTGCACATAGCAGGGGGGTTGAAACTAGGTGATCATTATGGTCCTTTTCAACCCAGGCCATTCTATGATTCTATGCCTTTAACAGTTTCCTACTCATAACTTTCTAAATACAGCACAGTGACTCTGAAGATCAGCTGAGATTTCTGTTTGACAAGATAAAAAGCATCTGCAGTGGGCCACAGCAAGCTGTGGTGGTTATAAACTGTGTGTTATAATTCTTCACTCTGCTTATGGCTAAGGAAAAGATGTTTTAACAGAGGAAGTTGGTTAGGTTGCATTTATTTCACGCTTATTTTCTGTCTCAGGTGCAAGGTGCTCTGGGGAATCCTGCTGCCACTAGCATTGGTCATCTCAGCTGCTTGCTTTATATCAGGAATCCAGAGGGAGATGCTGTGATGGTCTATTTGAAGAAAGGTACCAGATGCAACTTAGAGATCTGTTAGACTGCTGTGCCTGAAACTGTGGATACTTCTGAATAGGATCTTAATGATGTGGGGGAACATATTTGTTCAAGAAGGCATAATTCTGTTCAGGGCTTAATACTGAATGGTGGCCCAAAAACCTCACCAAATCTTCCTTTCAAAGCTTGTTCCCCACAGATAAGAAATATGGCTGTTGATGTTTGCTTTGATGGCTTTTTCCATCAGTTAATATAAAAAAAACCTGAATATCCTAAGTGTTATACTTTCCTAAATGACAATATATTCTGGCTCTCTATTCATGTCTAAATGAACCAAATCATTTGGTAATCTTATCTTGCTATTGAAACTCAAAGTCCAAGAAATGATTTTTAAATCTTAGCTTTTACCATAAAACTTTCGACCAACTCTAGGCTGCAGGCATTCTGAAATCACCACTTCTGCACCTGAGCTCTTTTGAACATTTTTTTCCTGTTCTGTCTACCCAGCACAAGAATTTAACTCATCTGGACTCAAGACCTTTGAAAGGACCAGTTTTCAGAATGTGCTTTCTGGTGTGTATCGTTCCATGGCTCTCTCAGCAGCTAGCACATCTCTGACGGATGCTCAGCTCTTCTGCAGACAGACTTGCAGCAGGGACTCTTGCTGTGATGGCTTCATCTTGAGTCAGACTGCACTTGATGGAGGTATTGTCTAAACACTGCAAAATTAAAATTTCTTCAGTAAACATACATAACAGTTAGGCTAAAAAAAAAAACACCAACAAAATAGCACTCAGTAGATCTCATTTTTGGATGCTCTACACTTATCTCTGCACCTCTGACATTTTCTGGCATAGGCAGATTTTGAGAAAGGTCTGAGATTTGACCTGATGCAGTAAAGACCTGAAGTAGAAAATTTCTCCTGTGGAAAAATGGATATTTTGCTGAGAACTGTTGGGTATTGTCAGATAATAATACTGTTTTATTAGGTGATAATAGTATGAGCTCAAACTGAGGCTACAAATGTTTGATTTATGTGTGAATGTCTAACGTGAGAACTCCAAACTGAAAGTATGTTCTGATTTTCATTTTTTTTAGGTGGCAATACAAATGAGTAGCTATCTCAGTAACACAAGTTCAGTTGGCATTTAGAGAAAGTATTGAGATGCTTGGATGTAAATCTCTATGCACATGAATGGCAGTGGCAGTGATGCAATTCTCACTTCTTGTGAACCTAGGTACCATCTTGTGTAGCTTGATGACATCCCCAGATGTGCTGATCTGCAATGCAAATGGTTGGAGTCCAACACAAACATCAGTCATAAATGAAATATGCAGAGGTCTGAGCTATGACAAAGGAGAGAAGATCTTCTCCTTCACCCTGGGGGGACAAGTGTTCAGTGGAAGTATGTCAATGAATTAACTTAATTTACATTACTTCTCTTTAATTTGTCTACAGAATCTGCCTTTTCTTTCAGCCTGCTCTTGTGCCCTCAGTGTTGTTTTTCTTTTCTCAAGAAAGTCCATACCTGTACAAGTATAAGAGAATTAAAACTCCCAAATCAGATGTATTGTTAGATGGACTTACCTTTCTTTGGGAACATTAGGGAAAGTCAAGAATGTATTACTTTTACTGTGTTATACTTTGATACTTTTAGCATTTAATTTAGGCAGAATCAAGTCAATAATCTTAAAAAAAAAATGTAAACTGTGGAAAAAAAGACAGAAAGAGATTTATTCACTGAACAGTGACAGAAAACAGAATAAAACTTCAGTACCTGTGACCTAAACTAGAACCAGGACACCTGTGCCATCCTTCCCAGGGTCTTGTGCTGTAAATAAGGGAAAACATACTCTAAAGATGTGTTTTTAATTTAATTTCCATGCATTTCAGTGCTATCTATTTGCTTAATTTTAACAGCTGTTCTAACACACAATTTCTTCTTTACAAGTGTCTAAGCTGTCAGAAGAGGCAGAAAGAAATTTCACCACTTTTCAGCAAGTGTTTCTGGGGAGAGGTAAGTTATCTCACAGGGCCTGTTATAAAATTTTATGGTGAAATATAGGCAGTGGCAGCTGTGTTATATGAGTACCACTTATTTAAACTAGAAGCATCTTTCTCACTTTGTTTGGTAATGTCCAACATGAGACATATACCGTGAAAAATTACACTGTGGAAACACTTGCCTTTGACCTTTCAGTGTCAACAAATAATTTGGACATTTATAAGTAACTACAAGTAACTAAATGAATTACTGAATTTTGGGTTCAGTTTTTCCATTACTCATTTTTGATTCACCAGCTGGAGAAACTACATAAGGAGTTTTCCTAACTGGTACAGATTAGTCCAAAATGTTTGCTTAAGCTATGGAACCAAGGATGAGCTTATATTGTGGAAGAAAGATAAACTGATAAACTGAATTATTGTGTCCTTTAATTCCTCTTGCATTCTAGGCTCTGATATGGTCACCCGACCTGAAATCTCTGAGTGTGATTCTACTGCTTTGAAGACAGAGGACAATATCATGTTATCAGGTATCACAGTAAGGGCAGACAGAGGAGACAGCAGAGGGAGGTGCAGAATTTAACCAGAGAGTTTCATAGCACGTATTTTCATATATGTACTGTGATGATGTAGGTATTGTCAAGTACAAAAGGTTTCTCTTAAGCAGGAAATACGATGCAGATTTTGAGAAAGATGTTCAAAATGTAGTCCTCCTGGAAGGCACCACTGTCTTTGAGATTTTTTACCTGAGAAAATCTGGAAAGCTGCTTCTTTCGTATTTACTGAACTGTAATGACTCAGGAAATATCATACAGCTGAGAAAACATTTTACATAAACCCAGGGATCAAATTCTTAGTGTGGGCACATGGGCATGTGCTACTGACAATATGGAGTAACGATGAAACAGCAAACACAGGTATTTCTTCCAAGTTAGAGAACTTTGTAGTTCTCCTCTTTTATTCCAGTGTCTGCTAAGTTATACTAAGTAATTTGTATATCCCAAATCATTTGTAATATGTGTTCCTCCAGACCTTCAAGCATCCAATTGCTCTGAGCAACCAGATCTAGGGGGTGGCAACCTTGCCCACAGCATGGGGATTGGAACTCAAGGATCTTTGAGGTCCCTTCCAACCAAAGCCATTCCATCATTCTATGATTCTATGAATTCTAAAAGTAGGAGAGCAATGAAGCCTGTTGAAAGCATTTTGCTACCTCTCTGATGAGCTTAAATCTTTTCTGAGTAACCCTATTGGATGTCTGAGTATGCATTTTATTCCATATAAGATCTTAACACAAAGTACATTGCTGATTTTGTTTCTGTAATGTGAATGGAAGATGAATAAAAATGTCTGTTTACCTAGTGGCACTTCTATACAATTAGTGGTGTTTTAAAGTTTAGACTTGAAAATAAGGAAGAGCTGCACTTAATATGGTGGGTAGACTTCTCTTGCATTTGCCTGCCAAGGCATGAGAGTAGCCTTCAGGTCTCTCCTTTTTCCTTGCTGTTGCCAGTAATGTCATTAAAACCAGTAGTTATGCAAGGAATGCAGCTTCTTCCTTCATGCTTTAATCTTAGCTATGACAAAAATGGTTTCAAGAGAAGCAGAGGTTGAAACTATGTGGTAACGAGACTTAAAAATCACCTTCTCAGAAACATTATGTAACATTATTAAGTTAGGGAAAATGTTTACAGAGCTTTTATTACTTGATGATCATGTTTAGAGCATGTTTTAGCATATCTTTTCTATTTTCTGATGGGAATCTGATGATTTCTGATTATAGAAAATACTTGTGGGCACTTGTGATTGTGGATTTAGTGGGAATGATGATGATGGATCAGTAGTTGGATGATCTTGGAGGTGTTTTCCAACATTAATGATTCTATAATTCTATCCCAGTGCACTTCCCAGCGTGTTATTAGATGCTTCAGCATTTCAGCTGCAGTTATGTGTCTTTGGTTTTCTGTTTTCATTTTTGTCTGGCTTTTTAGTGCATCCAGGTTTAAATAAAAAGAAACTCACAATGCAGGAGTAATTGGTTGTGAGACCTGCTGATGACATTCAATAAATAGAAAGGTGTTTACGGAGGAATTTGTAAGACATCAAAGAAGAGTGTTTCTCTGAATATTGTTGTTGGACCCTTATTTAAAGGCACTGATTTTAAAAAATCCTTAACTACCTGTGATTGTTTCGGAGAGATATGAGGAGCATATTGGGGCAGTGTATGCATGTCTAAGTATCACAGGCTATAGACAAAAGGAATTATTTAAGCAAGTCTGTGGGAGCCTAAACTAGGAGAAATACATTAAGTAATTGAAAGAGATCTTTAGCCTGTTAAGAAAACATTTAACAAATAGGTGTAAATGCTTCCCAAGTGAATATAAGGAAACAGCTGTATTTTGGATCAATAAAACTAGATTGGTCAAGGTATCCCCTAGAGCAGCATTATTCACTGTTAAACAGATGTTTTGCATGGCAGAGTAGAGATGTCGTATTTCTAGGAGCTGTGATTCTTTCTTCTGTTTTTTTGTTTGTTTTTTTGTTATTGTTTATTTACTTGCTTGGTTGTTTTGGTGGTCCAAATACTCTTGCAGTGCTGTGTTGTTCAGTGCAGTTCGGCAAGGAGGCATCACCTACACAAACATCACTAACTATAGTTGAACTGTTCTGTTGCTGAAAGCAACTTTTGGCGATGCTAACTTTACAATATGGTTGCAGCTGCTTTGATATGAAAGGAAGAATTTTACGTGTAATTTTGAGGGCTTCTCTGAAAGGAATGGTTCCTATTTTACTATGTTGGTCCATGTTGTCAGAGGTGGATTTTGGTGATATGGCAATAGAGGGTGGATGTTGGTGATATGGCAATAGAGGTTGAACTTTTCCACCAGTATTCCATTTTGTTTCTGTGTGATGGAGGGCAGCAGAGGGGCAGTCTGGCAGAGTGGCATCTGGTATGGAAGTGGATATGAAACAAAGATGTGTTACTGAATTTCTCCATGAGGAAAAAATGGCATCCATTGACATTCATTGATGTTGTTGAACATTTATGTAGACCAAACTGTGGATGTGAGCACAGTGAGGTGGTGGGTCATGCATTTCAGCACTGGCAATCAGCTCTACTGGTGCAGATTTTTATGAGCATAGCATGCAGGCTCTTGTTCACTATTGTCAAAAATGCATAGCTAATGATAGTGACTATGTTGAAAAACAGTATTTTGTAGCTGAGAATTTGCTCTATCAAATTGTGATATTGTTCTTCTAATATCTGTTGTAGTTTCCATGAAGAAAAAAAAAAATAGGAAGCAGTACTATCAGTGCTACCTACCTTAAAATGATTTATTTCAGATCCTAATTAAGTTATTCTTGTGGGCTTGAGCTGTTTGTCTGTTTGTTTGAATCTTAGATTCCACAAAGGATCTTTTCTACTTAATGGATAACAGCCAGATACGAAGCGACCCAAACTCCTCTATCCCTTACCAGCAGTACTGGGTCTTCAGGCAGAAGTACTCAGCGGAAGAAGCTATGCTTTGGTGTCTCACACGTAAGATATCTCATAGACAGTTGTTCTGCAAGAGAGTAAGGAGAGAAAAATTAACTAAAATCTTTCTGCAGAAATGCTGGACTTAGAGATTTTTCAGGGCAAAATTTTCATGGAATTCAGCTACGCTGAATTTGCAAATGGGAGAGGACATCTATTTCTTTCTCATGAACTTTGTCTACTGCGACAGAAAGGATACCCATTGTTCATAAGCAGGGTGTCCCTGTTATGGATACAGCTTATGCTACTAGGAAATACACTGCCTACAGTGGTAAAATGAGAAGGTAAAATAAGGTATGTCAAGAATAAAGCATATTTCGGATATGATAAACAGAGAAGAATGTCTAGCTCTTACTAGCAGGAATTCTGAAGTGAGAGCACTATAGATACAGTGCATAAACATTACTGTAAAAATTTCTTGGAGATGTGCATGTTTAAGCATTTACATTTGTCTTTAGAGAAGTCATTGCCACTGTAATTACGAATTAAACTTGCATAAGATTTGACTACTGTGTTTTTTTTTCTGAAAGTGACTTATTACTCTGAAGAAAAATTCAGAACAAATTTCTGCAAGCAAATGACTTGAACAGTTAATTCTAGAAAAGTTATGTCTATTTTTGTGTCCTATAACAATAATTCAGAAACTGATTGCAAACCTTCCTAAAAATATTATAGTAAACATTTAACTTTATTGTCCATTACTTAATGTAAGAGGTGGATAAGTGACAGAGTTTTTTCTGATTGCATGTTTTGTGTGCCAAACTTAATGCAAAGTGAAAAATAGAGATTTTTGAAGTCACAGTGTTTGTGACACAAATAACCTGTGCTCGTCACATCTAGAGAACTTATCTATCCAAACAGTCGTGGTATAGCTCCTTTTCTGTGCTGTCCAAGTAAACCTGCTCTTCAGCATAAATAGAAACAGAATCTTTCCCTATTTAACTTGCACTGTGATAGAATATTTTTTTTTTTATTTGTTTACTGATCGATACCATTAAGTACTCTGAAGAGAGAGGAAGAAACCCTAGAGTGGCTAACTTCTAGTGGCTTTGCCTCCTAGGCTGTGCACAGGAAGACGAGTTTTGTCAAATGGCAGATCTCCAAAATACTGCAGACACATACTTTGTGTGTACCCTGTATCCAGAGGCACAGATTTGTGATGGTAACATTGAACAAATACTGGAAAACTGTCGTACTGAACTACCCTGGCAGCCACAGGCATTGTACCGTAAAATAGGTAAGTTATGGATCTTGAATTTGTGATGCATACATTATTATTGAATTGGCAATTCAAGCCAAAAGAATTTCAATTTTCCATCTTGACTGTGAGATAAAAGGCCTGAATGAATGAGTACTGGGATATGATGATACAAAGGAAGACTGTGTTGAGGTAATGGAGCTGGAGGTGTTGGTCAATGCTTGGCTGAATATGATTCAGCAGTGTACCCAAGTAGCCCAGAAGGCCAATGGCATCCTGGTTTATATCAGAAATAGTGCTGCCAGCAGGAGCAGGGAGCTGATTGTCCCCCTGTAATCAAATCTGTTGAGGCCACACCTCTAGTGTTTCAATTGTGTTGTCCTTCTCTACAAGAAAGACACTGAGGCCCTGAAGCACGTTCAGAGAAGGGCAGCAAAGCTGTGAAGGGGACTGAAGCACAAGTCTTACAGGGAGTGACTGAGGGAACAGATTATTCAGTCTGGAGATGAGGAGGCTAAGGGGAGACCTTAACATTCTCTAAAACTCCCTGAAGGGGAGTTGTAGAAGTGCTGGTACCACATTTCAGTGCCTAGTGGAAAGATATTAACCACAAATTCCATTCTCTGCTTTCGCTGTTCTCAATTCAAAGAGAACAAGGGTACTTCAGATAATCTGTGTACCAATCTTAGGCTTCTTTATAATATAGATGAATTCAGACCATTTTAGGGATGTCAATAGTTTCATTTTCTACAGTTAAAATTTCCACGATAGATAAGCAATACAAAAATTGGAAAAACATGAATGCATTCTTCTTGAATATATGTATAAATAAACAATGTATAAATAAAACAAATCTAGAGTTATAGACTTAAGGATTTTAACCTCTGCTTTTTGAATGCTTGAAGAGTTTGAATTCTTGGTTTTCTCCTAGTGCTCACATGAGGAAAGTGAGACAAACAAGCCTGTTATCACTCCATGGGAATCGGTAGTTTTCTGCAAAAAATATAGATATCCACAGAACTAAATGATTAAATCATGTCTTGTTGGGAAGCCCCAAACTACAGCATAGGATTATACATGAGCATACACACAGGATTCCTCAAGCGTAGAACTGTTATCCAGTTTTCGGACCGAGATGATTGAGTCATGTCAGTACAGATAAAAAATACTGAAGCCCTTAGAAGTTTTTGCTTTGCAATGTGCTTTCTTCAACTTTTAAAACCTTGTTGGATTTTTGTTCATCTTTAGACATAACTACCAATTGCCTACTAATAATATAAAAAATGCTTTTTAATTGACAAAGGCATAGAAACATAAGCTTTACACTTACAATGTTATCACTTGACAAATATGTACAAATTAGAAAGAAAAGGTGATTTTTTTCCCAATTTTGTTTTTCTTTTCTGTACCAGTCACTCTGAGAAGTACTGTGAAGAGCTTCTACACACGTGTACCATTCCAGAAAGCAACAGGGATCTCAGTGAGAAATGTGACTGACATGAGCAGAAAAGCAGTTTCAAATGGGTAGGACATGACTGATTCTTTGTTTTTACTGAAATTTTAACTATGTCTTGAGTACCAAGCCCGTGTTCTATAGCTGAAGGGGATCAGGTGCTACAAGAATAGCATTATTTATTTGAGAGAATATTTTATCTTGGCAATAATGCATAAAAATAAGTGAGTGATGCAGATATTTTTAGGGCAGATAGCAAAGTATTCAGAAAATAGAATCAAAATATCAAAATATTCTAGAAAATCGAAAATGTGCAGAAGTGTCTATACAGCAGAAAGAACCATGAGGCATCACTACAGGTTCTTGGTGTCTCCCCCCCACGCAATACCCCACTGTCCCTTCTCTAGGACAGAGGCAGACAACTAATGATATTAAAAGTAACGATGTTTTTCTGTTCTCAGCTTTTTCGAGTGTGAGCGTTGGTGTGATGCTGACCCCTGTTGCACAGGATTTGGATTTTTAAATGTCACCCAGACGTCAGGTATTTTTTTAATATTAAAAAAAAAAATGTTTTCAATCTTCATATTCCAAACTTTACTACTCTTTTCCTGCAAAAGGTACCCTTAAAAGCTCTTGCTGATCTTAACTCTTCTTAACACCTTTTTGAGTGATCATAACCCTTTCTAAGAGTTCACCCCAATGAAAATGTTCAATTTATCAGAAATTATTACAAAAACTTTAGGAAAAGGATTCCTGGAGAGGCCACAATTCCAACAGTGTGATATTCAAGCATATAAAACTGTAGGGAACTGTTATTTCTTATTTATTGGCCTCTCTTCCAATATGGTTGACTTCTTTTTGTGATTTTTGCTGTTTCACTTTTTTTCCAGACCTTATCAGAAACCTAAGTATTTCTGAAATTAAATGCGGGTTAAGAACACAATGTCTGTGATTACTCTGGGATAGCTTAGATTTTTTAAGTTCTCTTGTATATCTGAATTTTCCTGCTCCCGAATTTAGGTCATTTACTTGAGGAAGCATAGTTGGAGAGAGATAGAGGTTGCTTACCCTCTCCCATTTAGTATTTTAGCAAGTATGTGTTACCTGAATGCATTTAAAAAGTCAAACAAGCATATTTTACTTACCTGAGATGGCTAAGTTAAGGGTATTGTCACACTATGCTCTCTATATTATCAGCAGAAAGCTTCATAGGAACAAATTACAGTGTCCTTAGGAGCTTTGGTTGACTGAGTCCTATTCTGGAGATATTTTTTTTCTCTCCAGGAACTGTAAAGTAAGTGCTCTGTTTAAAGGAAAGTCTTTAGTAGGTATTTAAAATTGAATACTATCCACGTCAGTGCCAGTGAAGAAATTTTTAGTGTTTTATTCCAAATTTTGATGTAAGCACCTAAAATGGTGAACCTTGTTTTCAGAAATGGTTGCTAACCAGCTCTGCCTGAGGCTATTAAGAAGCACTGGCTTTATGATTCACTGGAGAATTTGAAACAATAAATTAAAAAAAAAATTCTAGTTCTTTTTTTTTTTTTTTTTGGCAAGCAGGCAAAGCTTTCACGCAGTCAAAAAAAGAATAGACTGAAAAATTAATCCAACATTTTTCAGATTTGAATGTGGAAATCAAAAGCAGTTCACAAGCTTCATATTTCCGTAAGACTATATGAAATTAAAAGTGTTAATTGAATATGAATTTAAGTTTCTTTTAAGTATAAAAAATCACAGATTTTAAAACATCAAACATAGGAAATTATATTTATTGTCTGTAGTATTTCTGACATTTAGTACTGGCAGTACTGTAGTCCAGATGAATTTCAGAAGAGATTTTAATATGAACCAAAATAAATCTTAAATGACACTTCTAACTGCTTCAAATCCTACAATACTTCTTAGATACTGAAGTATTCACCCTAGCTCTTTGAAAGGCAGAATTTTTATTTTAAGTAAATGCTGTGTTTCAATATACATGCAGGTTTTTAATTTCCAGGATTGAATTAATTTGAAAGGGCTCCTTGCTCAAAGACAGTAGGACTTCAAAATTCTTGAATATTTTGTAGAAATGCCCCTAGTGACCTTAATTGGGTTATAACTTTGGTATCTCCCTCCCTCACGCTGACTTCAATCTGATTTTTTTTTTTTTTACACTATTTTCACCCATAGCAAAACTTTGTACGTTTAAGGTATTTTCATCTGATTTCCAATTCAGTGAGATTTGTTTTTAATGTGCAATGGAACCACACTGTTTTCAATTTCCTTAAGATACTATCTGGAAGAGGAAATTTTTCCTCATCATTGCTAAAACCACATATTTCCTTGGCAGGAGGAAAAATCATGTGCCTGACTCTGAACAGCCTAGGAATTCAGACATGTGCTGAGGAATCAAGAAGTGCTTGGCAAATTTCAAATTGTAGTTTGCCAGGCACTGAAGTCAGAATACATCCATTTGGCTGGTATCAGAAGCCTGGTGAGTGTTCCAGGGCACGTGTACTTTCCAACTGGTATCTGCACATTCAGTCTTCTTAATAAGCTTCATAGAATCATAGAACTCTTCAATGCATAAAAGGTTTAACTTTTAGGTGTAAGGCCCATTTACAAGGATAGAAATAGACAAGGAAGGCAGTTATGCCTGAGGTAAAGAAAACTGTATTTTAATCTCAATTTTTAAAGAATAGAAATATCTTAAAGAGGTTTAATTGAATTTCTTAAATTGGGTGTGAGACTTGTGACCTATGAGGGAACCCAAACATATTCAATTCCACTGCACAGCCATGGTCAAGACATCATTCTTTGTTTCTCACTGCTTGCCTTAATAATACGTGTAGATGAGCGACTTCAAAGATTTGGGTTTGTTACAGAATTTAAAATTCATTTTTTGGCTGGTTTGGTAAAGAAAGTGTCAAGACCAAATTCCAAGGTAACATGGTATTATTCAGGCAATAAACTGAACAAAAGTTATGAGACATTAGGATATTTCCTTAAGAGAAATTAAAAAATCAATTTAGTCAAAGTCAATGTTCTTTTCCATAGTGAGATAAAAGTCTCCATTACTTTTTGAAAAATTATCATTAAAATAAAAGAAAAATATAGAAAACTCCCCCCTTAAAGTACTGCCGGTTGTGAAAACCAAGAATAAATGAAAAAAAAACCCAAACATTTTTTATTTACTGACTTTTTTTTGTTTTGTTAAGAGCTTTTTTTGTTTGTTTAAGAACTTAAAACATGCTGATTAAATATGAGTAATCATGGGAAAAATTTGGTAACCCAAGAAGTTGTTTTGTCAAAGGAAATGAAAACAACACATACGAGTTGCTAATAGAAAAGGTCAAAACCACAAGCTAATGTAAAACCTCAAGATGTCCAGAGAACTTGTCATTTTATCATCATTCTGTCTATTAAAAAGCTATTATTTCAGTTGTTAAGTTTGTTAAGTTGTTAAGAGAGCTGTACATACAAAAAAGTATAAAATTCCATGATAGAAGTGAGTGTGTATACATGCAACCTAAAGACCTCCTGTAGTTGTAATCATGGTGTTACAGAATGGAAGTTGGATAAAGTATAAATTTGATGGTCTTATCCCCACAAGCTGACACTTCCATGGACAGCCAGCAGTGAAACAGCTTTAAATTATATCTCAGTTATCCTTGTGGAGTACAGCCTCAAACCCCTTGCTGCATCTACAGCATCTACACGGACAGAACCTTGTTGAGCCCCACTTTAATCAGGAAGGTCTCGCAAGAGCAAGTCTGGCAACAGTGGAAGAATCTAGGAAACAATTTGAGCCAAATAACAGGAATCAGGAGCACTTCTTACTACTTCTAAATTCCTTGATGTCTTGTAGGAAGGACTGATTTTTGAGTAGAGAGGGGAGGCATGATGTCCGTACATAATTCTCAGTGCATATGACATAAAAATAATCTATTTAAATTGTGTAGAGCTAAGTCAGATATCCTTGCAATGAACTGCATTTTATAGTGTTGGTAAAAAGCATTCACACTGAAAAGTCTCTGAAATAAGAACTTGTTATGCAACCTTTCAAGCTCTTCGGTAGTAATCTGCCCACTAGAACATCTGTTTCCTCTTCTTATTGGTGCCACCTTTGTACAAGGAGATACAGCACAGACTTGAGGGTCCATTGCTGAAATTGCAGAATTTGCTAAATCCACAATGCGTGGGCTTGGGGAGAAGAGGTCTGAGCATGAGAAGAGAGATAATAACAGCCCAGACGATACAGAAAATATCAGGCACCTGTGGTCAGAGGGAGCAGAGATGCAACTAGAGGAGAAGTAGAAAAGAAGAGTGAGGAGCAATAGGAAGGCAAAGTGAAGAGGAGGAGATATCAGAGGTATAGATACACTTTGTAGAATAATTTTCCCTCTCACTGATAAAGAAACAACTAAAAATAATACTGATTGCTTCATGGACAGAGGAATGAAGGAGTATATGCAAAAGGGGGAGTGTTAGGAGAAAAGATGATGTTTCTTTCTGCAATGAAAAAGCTTCAGATGTTTTTCCACCATAACAGATAGCAAGGCACAGATGTGTATGCAAATAAAGATATTTGCAGACAAAAATTTGTATCAGTTTTGCTGGTGTGTTGGGTGTCTGGGAACCAGGAAGAGGAACAAGAAGACTTTGATGCTGAAGGGTAAAAAGAGTGAAATCTGAGGGAGGAATTTACTGTAGGTAGCAGGAGGTTAACATGAGGTGGGTCTTTGGTTTTAGTGCACAGTGTGCTGTTCAGAGAAGTACTCTGTGTTTCACAATATGTTGTCACCATGTGGAGCTGACATGTGTCGCTCAGCACACTCGCAATTTGGCTAGGTATGTATGAATAGTCATGCTTGCAGTTCAGTCATTGGTGAACATACAGTAATATTTCAAAAAGAAGGGTCCTGGATGCAGCCCTAATTTTTCGCAGGTGTCATTGAACGTGGTAAACTCATGGCTTTTTGGAAATATTTATTGGCTGCATGCATGCAAAAGCGAAAGAAGCAAACAAAAAATCTGATCCATCGTTCTCACCTGTTGGGTAGTAATAGAGGGCTTATGACTGGTTTGAATAGTTGAAGTGCTTTACGAAATATGAATGCCTGAGGGAACATATTACTTGCTATTTATGTTTAAGGAAAATGCTAGCAACTGAGAAGCTTCATGGGCGGAAAATATGAATTAGTATTTGAATTTTAATTTGAAGCCTTTCCTTCTGGAAACTATCTTGTTCCTAATTTTTCTTTTGAGAAAATCCAGTTTCCTAATCAGGAAACAGAAAATCTGATGTCTCTTCTGATGCATGGAACTGAGTACAGAGCGGGTCATGGAAAAAAAACCAACAAAGAACTACTGAAATGAGTTATTCATAAAGAAAGCTGCAGTCTGCAAACTGTTTGTAGGAATGCTTATAAATGCATAAATTGAGGAATGTCTGGTTTCGTGAATAAGCTAAAAAGGGTTAGATAGCAAAGCAGGCTCAGCTCCTTGTTCTTGGTGTTAGTAATGAGAAGATGCAGTGTTCACATCCCACAAATGATAGAGGAAATGCTATAGTACTGATTTTATTTTGTGTTTTCTACTTTCAGCTGATTTGACGAACACTGTGCCTAACCTGTGTCCACCTGTTAGTTTGCCTTTCAGGCCAGAAAGTGGTAAGTGCATTCATGTGTTAAGACCAAAAGAAAAAAAGAAAAGAAAAAAAAAAAAGAAACGTCCTTTATTTTGTATGCTTTCCTAAAGACCACACTGTAATGAAGTGGTGCTCCTCATGAGTTTATTCAGATTCAACATGTATGCTTTTTTTGTTAGTCATGTATCATTTAAATGGAAGAAGCTTGGTCAGCCAGAGTGCTAATCTAATATCTCTCTCACTGTCTCCGAGCCAAAATATTTAGCAAATAGCAATGTATCATTTGTAAGTGCAGATGTCCCAGGAGTTTCAACATATATGAGTGTTCGCATTTTAGTGCAGTGATCAACAGAGAGGATCTCTGTCAAGGGAAGTTTCCAAGAAAGCTGGTTATTACTTTAGGGTCTGCTGTTGTGGGGTTTCTAGCACTTTTTTGAAGCAGCTGAGAGTGACAGTGAGTTTCCAGATCAATGCAAATAAATAGAATAAAAATGTGGAGTCAATATTAGTAAACCTAGTTTGTCCCTTTAAAGATTTGTGCCTAAAAATTGAGAGAATGGGAGGGTAAATACCTCTAGAAGTGAAGGCAGATTTATACAACTTTAGAATTGATGTAGAAAAACAATAAATTGTACTGCCTCTAGTCCTTGTTTACAGCTTTCCTCAAGTTTGGGAATATATTCTTAAATATATTCTTATTCAGAATTGAGCCACAATAAACTGTCTTTTTTTTTATCAGGAAGAAAATTTATTTCATTCCTGCAGTAAATCAATATTATGGCTCTTGCACGAGTGGTTCCTTTTGATAAAGGAAACTTGATCTTTCAGGGCAGTGTGTTTATTACACCCTAAAAACATGCAAATTTTAAAGAGGCTTTCCTGATGCATTCTTTCAAAAAATACATAGAATGTCTGCTATGCTATTTGTAACAGAAAGAAAACAGGTTAACTAGTCATTCTGTAACTCAATTTAGCCTTTGGGTTAGACCGAAATTGAAGAGTCTCATCCATCTCTGCCCTTGACTATCTGTTTGATCGTAAGCAAATCTTTTAATTTGCTTCCATTTGCCTTTTAACTTAAACCAGCTGCAACGGGGATTGCAGGAGATTGTTAATCATGGCATTTTCAATACTGAGTTCAGGATTTATTATTAACTGTTTTATCTTTTTATCATCTTTGACTTCTGGTTATGCTCATGTTCAGACAATGTGTATTTGCTAGTATAAATTGTGCTTTTCTAGTGTTCTAATATAGGGAAAGGAAAATTCCTTTTTTATGAGTAGGCAGAAATGATTTTTTATAAGAAATGCTGGAAAAAGCTAAGCAGGTAATTTGTAAGGTGGGCAATTCTATTCCTTCACAAACTGTAGGATCCTGCTTTATAGAGTGTCAGGACAAGGGGAAATGGTTTCAAACTTGAAGACGGTAGATTTAGACTATATATGAGAAGAAAATTCTTCCCTGAGACGGTGGTGAGTCACTGGAACAGGTTGTTCAGTGAGGTTGTGGATTCCCTCTCCCTGGAAGCATTCAAGGCCAGGCTGGATGGGCTGTGAGCAACCTGGTCTAGAGGGAGGTGCCCCTGCCTGTAGCAGGGCGTTGGAACTAGATGATCATAATGATCCCTTCCAACCCAAACCATTCTATAATTCTATGATTCCATGATTTATCAAAGCTTTCTTCTTACCATTGTGGTTAGTACATATTTTGTGACTTTCCTTTTATGTTTTTCTTGCATTCTTAAGTAGGAAGATAGTGACCTAAGCAACACTTAGGATAATTAAACCTTTTTGTCTGATTTTTGCTCTAAGGCTGCACAGAAGTTATCCACAGCAAGTGAGATATTCATTTTACCCTTAAAATCTTCTATCATACCCATCTCCAGATCGTCTTTCCAATACAAAGTATCATTCTTTATTGATAAAACTGTTAAAATTCTCAATTTCCCCCCTACCGAATAGCTAGACTAGAGAACACTCTTCAAAAGAAATGTTAATGACCCAAAAGCTGTTTTGTGTTTTGATCTACAACAGTGCCAGTTCTCCCAGTGCTAGATAGACTTTGTCTCAGTTTGTATGTTATTTAAACTCAGAATCTCTCTTTTATTTATTTTATTTGAAACTTGCATATTGAGTCTTTAATGGGCCAAAGTCAGCAAGTGACAGCTAGAACAATGTAATATATCCTAAAATCTGCCTGAAGGTAGAACTCCTGGGAGACAAGGGATTGCAAGGCACCATCCATCCATCCCTTCTGTACACAGGAGGGAATTGTACTGCAGTCACTATAGGATTAAGGGATCATAGAATCAATAGCTTGCACTGACAAAAGTCAAGACCAAATTCCTCTTTCTCATCTAAATACTTTCTTAGAGTTTTTCACTGAAACTTTTCCTAAACAAATTGAGCAAAGCCATATATTTGTTTTCCTTCTGTTTCTCAATCTGGGATTTTGAAAATGTTGATTAACAGTGATTAACAGAAATGTTCATAAAAACTCTAGACCTTTGAACCTGTAACAACAAAAATAATATCCAATTGCAGTTTCTTTATCTTGTCATAGAACAGCATACAAAAAACCCTTCCCCATGTGAGATTATCCTCTGAAAAGGGACACCAAGAGGAAGGCATGCAGTACTCCCTGTACCAGAATTACTCACCCAGCAGCCTGTTGTAGCCCTGTGATTCCTCTCTCCATACAGAGCTCCCATTCATATTCCCCACGTTGCACACTCAAAACAGCAATGCTGGGCATTTCTATCTTTTGTTCAAAGCCCCGTTACTCTGCAATAACACAATGCCTGCTGTCTGCCTGGTGAGGTGCACACTGCCGTTTGGTTTGTGCCTTTTGCCTGATTTTTTTTGTTGTTTTGTTATTATGTCATCAACCTTCGTTTGTTTGCCCTTTTGCGATACCCTTTCTGATATCAGAATGAACTCTCCAAGTCATTTTCATCATTAATCTGTTGAAGATTTAATGGAACGTGCGGTTTTCATCTTTAACCCAAATAATACTTCTGTTTGTTTTCTCTGCTTTGATTTCTGTATCATATGGAGCAGACCATACTCCCGCTGTCGTGTTGTGAGTATGGCCCAGTTTTTGTTAGCTGAGAAATAATACTCAAAAAGTAGTCAAGTTGAACAGATTGGGAAAGTCCTACTTGTGGCATTTGGAGTATTTTTTTCCCCTGAAGAAGAGCATGTGCTGTGACAAGACTGAGTATGGAACCATCTGTGGCTAGTTTCAGATATGATGTGTGACCTTTAACCATGGAAGGACAGCTGGTATTTTAAAATTGCCCATGCTGAAAATGCTAATATAGTCATTCTGCAGTTTTGGTTTACTGATGATATTATTTAAAAAAGAAATCTACTGATTTCTGTGAATGTGGAGGGATGTTACTTTGAAAGACAAAATAGTCCAGTCTCATAATTAGGTGGAACTTCCTGCAGCCAGCCGAAGATACAGGATGATTAAAAAAACCCACATATGATATATATATGATATAGTGCTGTCATTCAATGCAGCTTACCTAGATGTGTTTGGCAGAAAGTTTTATGTCTTTATAACAAAGACTGAAAGAAGTAAAAAGGTCTATGAAGCATCTTACCTGGCTTTGTCTTATTTATACTGAAAGCAAAATGAAGATCCTGTAAGTATTCCTGAATATATGGAAAGGAGGAGCAAGACTGTTGCTTAATTTCTGCTTTTTAAATTTATCATCATATGAGTTGTGTATAGTAATTATCCAAACTTTAATGAGCATTAGAGTCTTCAGGTTCCTCAGTTTTAAATTGGGTAGATCTAATGTCTAAGGTTTGGCAGCTGCTGGGGTGATCTCTGCATGTGACTGCAGATTACATGCAGAAATGTGGGGAGGGATCATATGGGCTCACTTCCCATTCCACTCAAATTAAATAATTCCTTGGAAACTGCCAAGGCATATGGATGTAATGATCAGTTAGACTCTTTGTTTTTCTATCTTCTGTATTTCTTCATGTTTATCATCCTTCCTATGATGCAGCACTGAGCAGTAGCCACAGGATTGTCTCCCACGGCAATTCTGTTTCCCATCAGGATACCTCAGCACTGGAGATATTTCCAACAGAGCTGCTCATGGTAGTAGAGGTGCCACAGAATGTACTCAGTTGAGGAACCCCTCATGTCATCAATACAGTGAGGTGAAAGAAGACAGTGGAAGGCTTGGAGGGCGTTAGGACAACTGATGTCTTTTATCTTGCTTTCCCCTTGGCTTTCTTGAGACTGCAAGCACACCGGTAGCCTACTGCTATTTAGTGAAGCAAAACACTAGAATAGAGTCTGAAGGCTTCACAAAGTGAATATTATCCTTTGGAGTAACATCTGAAAATGACTTGACGCTTGTGTGGACTATCTTGCCAACAAACTCATGTCTTGCTTTCAAGACTTTGGGAAATCTCTCATTTCCAGTAAGTGTTGCTGATTGTTGGTGATTAATAGCATCCTTTTTTTTTTTTTCCCCACAATACTGGGGATGTTTCAGAGGGAGTTTTGGTATTAAAATAGAGACAGCCTTTTTCATCCATTCCTAGGAAGTGGTCTATTATGCCCCATACAGCACACTGGACCTTCTTGCTAGAATTACTCTGTCTTTGTAACCAAGAGGATTTTAGCCTACTTAGAAACAACTTATTTTAAACTAAATAAATGCCTGGTACAGTTACATTATTATACTGCTGTTCTGTGCCATTTACTATAATTGGAAGTATGAAGGAGGCAGAAAGTTTGCATGTCACATCAGAATAGCATTATTGCTTGCTGCTGAAGGCCAAAAGTAACACATTTGATAGTTCAGGACATGTTTGTCTGAAGTCTGATTATAGTTATTATGCAGTAGTTTTAAGAAAATATCTCATTGTGAGTTATTCAAATCTCAGAAGTCTGACAAAAATGGGAGGCAACTCTATTTTAGAATCATATTTTCTGCAGGTCCACTGTGAGTTGACAGTGAACTGTTTCCAGGGATTATTGGTATACAGACAGCCTACAGCCTTCACTGAACAAAGAAACAAAACAAAGAAACAAAAAAAAACAATAAACACACACACATAGAACAAAAACCTCTGAAGTCTAAGAATGAAAAAGCTGTCTGTACAAGCTTTTTTTTGCTTGAGTCTGGACTATTAGATATGGTTTACAATCTTCATAATCAAGATCTGAATTTATCTTTCAAATGTAAGTTAGGCACATTAGTCCCAAATATTTGATTTATGTACTTCCTTAACCTCATGTTCACCTCAGTTGATTTATGTATATTTATGTATCTCCTCGAGATCATGAATTTTCTTCTACATTTAACTTGTTATATTATTATACTTATGTATCTCTAGTTCCTTGTACTTAATGTCAGATTTTCCAGCAAACTCAGAACTGACCCTTCTTTGCCTTCATTAAAGTCAGTTATGAAGATTTTGCTGACTTTATGAAGAGGATTTTACAGTGAAATCAAGTGTGACAGTGGGAGGCTGGACTTCATGCCCCCAGGAAATCTATTTCAGCCTTGTGATCATCTGAATTGAGTAGGAAGACCAGGGGCGACCGTTTTGGAAATCCATTCTTAAAATCTTGCCTACTCAAACAAGAACATCTGGAATAAAGAAGCTCTCTTTATGGGACATCTGTAATTTTGCAGTAAAAGTGCTGCCTTGATTCAGTGCACAATAATTATCCAATCAAGTAATCACCAAAATGTATTTTAGAAGGGCAGAGCCTAACCTATATATAAGCCAGGAATGTGTTCCAGCCCATCAGGTGTATTATGCATTTTCAGTAAGGCAATGCCAGACTGATGCTGTGTGCCCTATGAGAACAGCTTCTAGATGAGGCAAGTTTAGGTCAGCTATAGAAAGTTCTGTTTTGCCCACATAATGACATAGATGTGCATGGCCTCTGGGCATTGCTGTATCTGCAGCTGGGTAGGAGAAAGGGAAGAAGGAAATAACCAATGGGTAAAATCTTTTCTTCCAACAAATATCTGCCAACAGCGGTGCCATGAATGGCTCTGGGTTTAAGGGCCATGCTCTGTCATCAAAACAAGCCTTAGTGTTTCTGCATTTATCTGCATTTGGGGTCAGCTGGGCAGAATAATGGAAAGAAGAAAGCACTAAAAGTTATCAGTATAAATCTGGTATGAAAATATCAATGTTGCCTCCAAGAGTGAAAATGCAAAGGAACATAAGACCCACCTGGGCAGTGGGAGTTTGAAAGGGGCCCTCGTGGGATTCAGAGTGAAGAATAAGCAAAGGAAATGATATTTTAGGTATGAATTATGAACCGTTGGTTCTTGCAACGTGAATGGTCACTGTTCTGTGCTTTAGCATGGGCTGGAAAGCGACCATTGTGCCTTTATGTGTTATTCACTTTGCTCTATCCCACATAAAGGGATAAAATAAAAAGTCTTTTAACATAGGGGTCTTTCATCTTTAATGAAATGAACCACATGAGTCATAACTTTTGCATCTGTGTGGTAAATGAACTGAAGCAACAGGACAAGAACTGCTCGCCAAGAATAGCAAGGCAGCAGCTGACTAAGATCTGTCCCCTTCCTACAATTAGGCAGAAAGGGTAACACCAATTTCCTGTTTAGGACTCATCTGTACACATTAAGGCCATTTTGTTTTTAAAACATATTGATCTGTGGGAAGGAGCTAAAGTAATCAATGGCACGTCCTTTTCTGAGCTTTCTTTTATTTTTTGTCTGCGTATGTGAAGTTGATAGCCTATAGATATTATCAATGTATGAGAAAATGTTCATGAGCTTTTATTTTTATGTTAGATTAACTGTGAGAAGAATATGATGATTTGTCAGAATTTGTTGAATATTAGAATTAATCTGTACGTGTGCACATGCATATGTACGTGTAGAAAAATGCAGACAGCACACATCTCTGTTTCAGCTATTAACACGAGACAATACGTACATCCACATCATGTATTCAGTGAAGTCCCTGTGATGATTTTCCTCATCCCAAAGTAAACATCTAAATCAGGATGGAAATCTTGCATCCTAAAACTGTCTGTTCCTCCTGATAGTAAAAGGAGTCTCGTGTAATTAATTCAGAGGTAGACACCTACCCTGTCTGACTAGGGCTGAGGTGAAGTGTACCCTAGAACAGCAGCTCCATCATATATAGAGATATAGAGATTTATATTTCTGTCTGGAAGTGCTTGGTCATATGCAGGATGCTTACTTGCCTTCAATGGAGTTTGTTGCTGTACCTGCTCGTGTGTGGAAGTATTAGGATCCACGTCCTTTAATGTAAGTAGGCCTGTAGGTTTTGATGCATAAGACCTGAACAGAGCTGCTTTCAATTTCCTCTTTAATAAATGAATACTTTTGTAAACTAAGCTGTGCATGACCTTTGCAGATAGGACTGATCCCCCCAGCCAATCAAAGCCTTTGAATGCTATTTTTCATGTATTCTGAGTTGATGTAAAGGAAGATAAAAACCTCTCCTTGGATAACTCTTAAGTGCTTTTACTTCTATATGATATTCCTCTGGTGGTTTTGTTGTTGTTTGTTTATTTCTTTGTTGTTTTGTGCATGTTTGTTTGTTCTACTGCTTTCTATACTATTTTAAATGATTCATTTTACAGAGTATTTGGATACATGGCAACCCTTAAATGTGTCCTCTGTTCTTGTGGATTCAACCATCTCAAACTTTGAAGCTGTGCATGTTAGCAGGGAAATATCCAATGGCTTTGCCACTGCAAAAGACTATTGTCTATCTGGTAAGAAACGTCTCTCCATAACTTTTCAGAGTGTGTTGGCTTGTGAGAATGAAACATCAGGAACAGTTCCTTCCCTATCCCCACATCCAATATAGATACGCTTATTTACATATTTTTGAAAATCTGTTCTTCGGTCATTTTGAGAATACAGTAGCAAATAATGGAAGGCATGATGTAATTATTTTCTAAAGAGCAGTTAAGAGGTGCTCTTGTATAACTGGATCCATATGTAAAACATGGTAGAACTACCTGCCATTACCTAAAGTAACAGGTAGCTGCAGTGTGGAAGGGCAGATAACCCTGAGTGGGATGAAGCACGAGTTGGGCTGTAGTAACAAAAAAGTGAATTTCTCTGATCAGGAGTCTGACCTAGGGACTGTGTGAATTCAGTTGAGGTCCTCAGTGATTTATTAGAAGATTTATTTCTCTTAAAATCCGTGAGAGCAGTTCTCTTGCTGTAATGCTCCATTTTAAGGCTGTTGTAACCTTTTTCTAGTTTGGAGAACATTTGGGAAATATAGGGACATTTTATTCCAATTACTGTGCCTTAGAATGAAGTAATGTTGTTTGACCTGCTGTGAAGCATTTCTTTTAAGCATCTCATAACAATTTAATACAAAAGTCTTTAAGAACACATTTGATTTGTTCTTTTTCTTCATGTTTCACCTCACAGCATGTTCAAGGAACCAGACGTGTGCAGTAGTTACACTGGAAATCCAGGCTTCAGCAATAAGATGCCTTTTTTACCCCGATACACAGATATGCTCATATGGTCTAGAAGGGCACAGCTGTCAGGTTCTACTCAAAGAACCAGCTACATACATCTACAGGAGACAAGGTGAGAGCTGTAAGGTTATGAATGGAGGAACTCAACTCTGGTGGCCTGGGTGCAATTCTCATTTATGAGAAAGTGAGGAAATAGTTGACACAAGCATTACAGAAGTTTTCTAGGTAGGTGTCCATTATTATTTTAGTGTAACTAAGACTTGAGTAGTATGGGAAAATGTCTCCTAAATATTTTTTATACATATTAAAAAAAAAAAAAACACTACACACAGAAAATCATGACATTAAGTGCTGAAGGAAATAAAATAATGGAAGCCTGGCCTATAAAATAAGTTCTGGAAAGTACAGAATGGTACAATAACAAACAAACAAACAAACAATAAAACAGTAACAAAAGCCCAGCTCCTTCCTCTTAATCTGCAGTCATTATTTCTTTGTCCTTCCTCCTAAATTCTGTGAATGAATGCTGAAACCCCATTCTTTTCTGTCAAAGAATGCTGAAACCCCATTATCAATCAAAAGTCTTAAGTAATATTTCTTAAAGAAAACAACAAAAGCAAAGAACAGCCACAAAAACAACAACAACAACAACAACAACAACAACAACAACAACAACAAAAAATACCTGAGGTCAACTTCTAAAAGAAGTGAAAGTGGTTTCAGACAGAAATAGGGGTGTCTAGAGATAAATATTTTATTGTTTAGCTCTGTGCTTCTTTGAAGCTTGAAGTTCTATTGTTTCATTCTCTGATAGTACTTTCTTTTGACACTGATTATATCTTTTATTAGGAACCGGGTAACAATAAGAGGAGAGGGGAAAAATATTTCCTTTTCTGTTCACTGAGGTTTCTGTGAAAAAAAAATGGCAGTTAATGAGAAGCTTCTAGGCTCAAACACACTGAGAGATAAATGGTTTTATCATTATCAAATGAACCAAAATCACTGGCTCTGATGCAAAAGCTAGTCTTGGGTGTATTTATGAACTGCTTTGGTTTTGGTTACATGCCTTAGAATTTGGTTCCCACCTATGGTATAGGTTGTTATAAGAGTGGAATAGTACTTGATATCTCTTAGTTCTGTTTGAATAAAAAAATTACTTTAGATTATTGAAAGAATTTTCTTTTGTATATGTAACCAATAGTCCAGGTAATCCTTACAGTAAAAGAAAATAAAGCAAAAGTGTAACATACTGAGGAACATTTCAAAATTTTCTACAATCAAAAAATAAGGAGATTGAGATGTAAATCTGTCCTGGTGGCAGCCTAAACCAATGAGATGTGTTGTTGTCCTTCTTATTTCTGACCTGCTATAAATATTTAAAGGTTTAATATCTTGGTTTTTAGAGTTGGGAAAGGAGGAGAATCTGAAAATCTGCTTGTAAAAATTCTCAAATATACATGTTAATGTGATGTCGTAATGGAAAAAATAACGTTTGAGAAGGAGTTTTGAGAGCACATTAGATAAATGTCTGTACCTATTAGCTAACATCTTGCACAACATGACGTATTCCAAGTGGAGAAACAACATAATTTTATCCATGTCCCGTTTATGGAAGCAGATTACACTTAATCCCATTTGCCTGAATTTCAAATGAATAATTTTCATTTCTGGAATGGTTCTAACTTAAAAGAGCAAATTATTTTTTCTTTCTCTCCACCCCCATTAGATTTAGTACTGCCTATTTCTGAATCAGATTTTGCCCCATCTGTGTACATTCCATCCCATGGTGATTTGATTGGCAAACCCCAGGCAGTACGGATCGGCACAGAGTGGAAAAATATCAGCCAGTTCCTTGGGATTCCCTATGCTGCACCTCCTCTTGCAGAGAGGCGATTTAATCCTCCAGAACCATTTGCTTGGGAGAAAACCTGGAATGCTACTGTGGCTCGGTAAGAAATACCTGTGATCATCCACATAAACGCTTGTTTCACCCCGTTGTATGAGGATAGCTATGGCAAAATTATTTACATCTTTTCTTGCAAAGGAGCCTATAGCATAAAAATGAGTGTAAGTTTGGGACTTTGTTTAGTAAAAAGAATAATTTCTCCATCTATTTGTGAATGCATGCAAGCAGCTCAAGGAAAATGGCAGTTTTAGGTACACTGACTTGAATCTCTGCTTAACTCCACATATACTGTCTACCATGAATCCATTTTAATTCTGAGTATTTATAGTATTTAGAGAAAAAAAATCTGATCCTATTAAGCCACAGATCGGAGTATTGACTCAAACAAGGGCCATTTTAATGCTGGTTTGACCAGAAGCTAACCAGCCTAGTTTCATCTAGGTCAGGACCCAACTGGCCTTTATTATACAAAAACTCTTAGAAGGAAAATATTTGTTAAATTCCTTGGTCATAGTACTGAAGCACAATGCATTTTAGGTGATGTATTAAGAGGATTCAAAAGATAGGAATCATGTTAGCAAATGGGTTAAATTCCTCCAAAGTCTCTGTATCTAACGTTCCCTTGTGGGTAGTCCTGTCTCTTAAGTGCTGTATAGACACCACTGCTCATTCAGTTTACAGAGTTTAGGTTGGAGGTACTTGACAGATATAAGCTTTGTGTTCGTGTCTGTGTTTCATCTAGCCCTATTACATGACTCTCAGCTTTGTATTTGGGAGACCAAAATGACAACTTTTAAATGTGGATTCCTTAATGAAAGAAAGCAAGGATCGGGTGACACTACTAGAAGTGTATAAAGCAGCAAATAGAAATTCAGCAAATAGAAATGTAGCAATAAATGACAAGAAGTTTCTTTCTCGTAGTGCATCTAATAGCAAAATACAGGGCATACAAAGTGAAGGGCTGTGAGGAAAAAAATGTTAAAAACAAGAAACACAAAATTGAAGAAGCAAAACAGTGAAAAGGTGAGAAGCTGGTGGAAGGATTCCATAGACCTTCTTTATAGGGATTTCCAGAAATCAGGGCTGAGAGATGAGGTTTAGTGTCTTGAGTGCTTCCAAGGCAGCTAATATTAACCTGAGGTCTACTGAGATCCTGTGTTATTCTGTCCTGAGGCTACAGATTTAAAGACATATCAGCTGTGTGGAAACTGTTTGCCCCCCCCGTTACTCAGGATTTGTCACCAGAAGTTTCTAGCAAAGCTTATGATTAACTGAGTGAAGAGGTATGACACTGTGCGAGTTTGAAGAGTCTTTGTCCTCTGGTGATCTCATCAGGTTGCACCTGAACTGTGGGGGTGTTAACAGCATAACCACATGTGGCACTGAGCCTTAACAAGGTACATTGGAGGGATCTGGTGAGACATGACCTTTTATTTCTTCAGGTGCACAGTGATGTTAGGTTAGCATACCCACCATCAACTCTTGGTGTATGCAGAAATACTGTGGTGTCTGCTAGGACTTGAGTAAGGCTCAGCTACCTGCATGGTCTCCCATTGAAGACATGTCTGGTATTGCAGCGACAAGAAGTTTAGGGACCTTAGTCAGTCTGCTCCTAACTGTTGAATTCTCAGTGCCAGTGAAACATTTGACATCTATCTTCTGTTACTCATTTAAGTTCAAAAACATTTTTTGAGCTTAGCACTGTGGAGGTTCACTGGAGAATCAGAAACATCTCAACCTCTCTGTGTATAAAGTGTTGACAAGTAGATTTCTTAGTATATTGGTACTGTACAATTTTTTTATCCAAGAAATCCACATTAGACCAATGCCATTAATGAAAAAAAATATAATTATTTATAGATCATTAAGGTTGGAAAAAAAAACTCTAAGACCATCTAGTCCAACCATCAACCCATCACCACCATGTCCACTAAATCATGTCCCTAAACTGCTCTTCCTGAGAAGAAATTTTTCCTAACACCAACTTGGATGTGAACAGAGGGAAAAAAAAAAAAAAAAAGTATATCAATATCCAACTGTTGGAGGAGCTGTGGACTTGCTTCAGCAGGTGGCAGCCTTTCCTCAGAGTCAGTCCTGGCATAAGGAGATCCTGGGAGATGGAGGTGCTGTTGCTATTCATGAGATACCACACACACACATGAAAAAGGGAAGAATTAGAGTTGTGAAAATACAAAATGTTTGGGGTTTTTTTGTTGTTTTTTTTTTTTTGCATTTGTACGGGTGCATACAACCCTCACATTTCTTAACTGAGGTGTAGAAGGGCGTAATGTTGTATGATATTGAGATCCACAGAATTAAAGATTTTACAAACTCAAACAGGTCATCAAAATATGAACAAATAGCAGTGGTGGAAAAAGAGTACAAGTTTTCATTGCAATTTTCTCAATTTCCATAGGTCAACTTGTTGGCAGCCAGGAGACAGAGAGACCTCATCATACTCTGTCAGTGAAGATTGCTTATATCTGAATGTCTTTGTTCCTGTCACTGCAGTAAGTAGATGAACAGAATTTTTAGTAGCTAAGCATTGTCTCTTTTCAAAGCATTTTAATTGCTGCAAATTACTGTTTTCCATGTAGTGTTCACAAAGGCCTGCAAGGTTAAATTAAGCACTCAGTTGTTTTTCCTGGGGCAAACTTACTCCCAGCAGGCTTTGTTGGGTAACTTGGAGGGTGGAAAATTAAAAGGTTGGACATGAAAGAGACAAAAAAGAGAAACAGAACACAAGAGGAAGGTGGCTGCAAAGGAGGAGAGGCTGGGCACAGAAATGGTAATTTCTCTGAGTGATATGATATGTCCAGTAGACCAAATAGCAGTGCCACCAGCAGTTGTGTGGCAGCACACGGTCACTCTTTCCCTGTTGACCTCCATGGAGGCAAAGTTGAGGAATGAGGGTAGCAAGCAATGCTAAAATTGTGCCCTGCCAACAGTGCATTAAAATAGGGCTTTCAAAGATGACTGAGCCAGTGGTGCAACCTGAGAAACTGTCACGTGAAAACTCCTGAATTTCTTACTGTAATCAGATATAAAATAAAGCTTTGTGTTACAACCATGCTGAGATGGTTGGCCAAGCCCCTGGGGGCTAGGGAGGAAGACACCGTATAACATGCCAGTCTCATTGATGAGTGGACACAGAATAAAGGCTTTTATTTTCTCCATAATTTTCAGAAGGTGACACCAAGTGATGTCTCTGTCACACTGCATGTCTTGAAAGAGCTGGCCTGGCTACCTCAGAGCTACCTCTGGCAGCAGAGCCACAGCCCCATGCAGGGCCCTTTTAATCACTAGGAAGACTCTTTTCTCCCTGCGGTCCCAGACTCTCATTTTGTTTTGAGTACAGGCGTCTCTTATTGAAAACACCAGGTTGCCCTCCCAGGCAGTTTGCCATCTCCGCTTAAGTGCTGCTTTCAAGATAACTCATTCAAAAGCACTGCATTTTCTACCATCTGATAGAATAAACAGGCTTGGTTTTTCTCCTTAGTAGTGCTGTACTCAATGCCTCTTGTCTTTTGGTACAGGTATGAGTTAGAAGCATGCCTGGTCAAGTCACTGTGTCATATGTGCCAGCCAAAGAAAACCAAAACTTCTGTTTTTGCAGAAGTATCTGGGAGCAGACGGCATGGCATTTTCCTGTTTCTTCTTGTGGCGAGTTCTATTTTTCACTCGCATACTGAGAGCTATAGTTTTACATTTTTTTCCCATGGAAAGTTAAACTAGCAAGTAAATTTCAAATGTAGAATCCCCTGGAGAGCAGCAAATGAAGAGTTTGTTCAGTAGCATTTTAAGCCTGAATTAGAGCATCATCTAGGCACTACTCCCTGCCGCCAAAGGACTCATAGCACTGAAAAAGACAAATGATATCACCTCATTTTGCTTCCATAGCTACGGGTATCACATAACCCACCAAATAAAATTGGCACTCCTGAGGTACTCTTTTTTGCCTATAACCATCACCACCTGCATTACTTGAGCATTTCAGCTTGACTTGCAGAGGCTTCAAATGCAAGATTAAGGCTTGAAACTCTCCACTAAATTAGACCAGAAAACATAACCTCTCTCTTTTTGCTGTTACCTGCATGTGTTATTCCCATTCTTACTGCATCATAGAATCATAAGGTCATAAAATCATGGAATGGCTTGGGTTGGAAAGGACCACAAGGATCGTCAAGTTCTCACCCCCTTGCCACAGCAGGGCCACCACTCTACAGATCTTGTACTAGACCAGGCCGCCCAGGTCCCCATCCAACGTGGACTTGAACACCTCTTGCAAGCTCAGCATCATATTTCCTGTAGTCTTAGCTGCCATGGTTCAACACAGTCATATTTTAGAATGAATTTTCATGGGAAAACAAGTTCTTTCCTCTTTGCTTCCCCTCATCTTTCTGTCCATGCTTCGTGTTGTGCAGAAGTGGGAACCAGTGACAAGGGACAGTGAGTTATTTTTTCCTCAGAATCAGAAGTTCCTTAAAGCTGCGTGTTTCAGTTTGTGTACTCTCTGAGTTTTCCTTGGTAACCTTATGGTGATCATAAGAAGCCTCTGAAATAATTGAGAGGGAGAGACAGGAGGTAGTAGTGCCCTATCAGTGCGTATATTTGTGACCGGAAAATAGGATGTGTGTGTGCAACACACTACTGAGCAGAAGAGCCACTTTCTGCATGGACCCAAGGAGAGTGATAGATATTGAGCATGCTAAATGTAAAATTGAGGTTGCACGCTAAAATAAACCTTTCTAGCTTGAGAACAGGCTGCATTGCTCTTCACAAGGGGGATAAAAAAACAATAACACACGCACTAAACACTGTGTTTCACTGGATGCTCTTAAATGACGTGAAGTTCATTATAGACAGTTTATGCCTAGTCTTGTAAACAGAGATCCTGTCATTATCCTCACTGTTATAGAGCTATGAACAGCTTAGATAATTTAAATTGGGAATATTGTATTCTAATCGGGGAGTTGGCTGCAGGAATACTAACTGGGTTGTTTGTCACTACAGGTCAAAAACATGTCAGTGTTGCTGTTCTTCCACAATGGAGGGAGTGGTAATGCTGAGGCAGGAAAGACCATCATAGATGGCTCATACCTGGCTGCAATCAGTAACACAATTATTGTAACAGCAAACTACAGGGTTGGTGTTTTTGGCTTCCTCAGTGTTGGTAAGTTGTGGATTTCAAGAATAAATGTAACTGCGGGCTTAATTGCATTTTGTAACAGTTATGCTTAAAAACAAACGAAAATGTTTGTTAGGACTTCTTAGCAGTCTGTATCTTAGCCTGTATTGTGAAGGAGGAGTGGAAGTGCAAGTGGAGTTCTGGAGTGGAAATGGCCAGGAAATAACTGCAAATGGAGTTCAGGCTCTCTCTACCTGGTGAACAATCCTTGTTCTTTCCAGTGGACACATTAGTAGCTGTATATCCTTTAGGAGTTTATTTTTTTCCATACTTGCAAATGCTAGACCAATATACTTTGCTACATAACTCTTTTGAATATTCATTGTTGGCAACACTGTGAATTTTGCCTAATTTGGGGCTACTGCTGCAGATATTTGCCATCGTTTTCCTTTTGTCTGCTTTTGTTTAAAGCTCACTCTCAGCAAAGCCTATTCTTTAACTAGAGAGTTCACACCACAGACTCCTTACTTATTTTTAGACATGAAGTTGGTGATAGGTGTATCTGGGGAAAGAATCACTGTTTTCATCACTGCAAGCCGGATGTTTATGAAAGTGATACTGTGGCTGCATTCTGGCTAGAGTCAAAGGGAGTGTGGATACATGTTGAGCAACCTTCCATTACGCAGCACTGCTCACACATTACCCACTAACGTTCAACCGTGTGAATCTCACCTAGGTTTCTTGCTAAGTGGAAACTGCTATCTGGACTGAATATTACATAGCAGTATTTATATTAACGCCCATAGTCGAGGGATCAGGATGAATTTTCTAACAGCTTTTTCATGTGGATAGTTCCTCTTGCTGAAAGTCTTGCATGAATCCTGGTCCGTTGGAAGTTGTCCATCATTTTCAAATAGGAAAGATCCCCTCTGGATAATCCTCTTAGAATTCTGGGGGCATTAGGAGCAAGGTTGTTAGAAGGTCACTCACAAAAGTTCACTTTTTAAGCAGTAGCATTTTCTTTGTCCATCTAAGCAGAGTGCAATATCCTTTCCTGTTGGCCTGCCATGAATTGCAAAACTGGAAATGAAGGAGTCAAACTGAGATCTTTGGGGAGGAAGGACGGAGAGAAAAACAACAGATTTCCTTGTTGTTGTTGTTGTTAGTGCTGCTGTTGATTTGGCGTCCTACTGAAAGAGCTTTTGCAGGGAGTTGAAACTCACTTGTACTTCTGAATACACTGAAAGTTTTATTTGATTTGCTGTCCACCACTAATGCTATAAGTGTGACACATTCTTACTAGCGACCTCATCTCTGGTTTTGCACCCAGAAATGTTAAGTTGAATTGCCAGTGATTTAGATGGCAGGGGAACACAGAAAATGGTCATGTCTTTTAGGCCTGATTCTTCTAAAACAGGCCATGAAGTTATATGAAACAGTATCTTCATGTTTTAATTTAGCACCATTGTTTTTCTCCACTTTAGTAATAACAGAAATGCATATGTTTGACATTGTCTACTTCCTCCTGAGCACCAGTTTCTTTTCATTCCCTGTGGTCCCAAAAGTGTAGTATTTTTTTTTTTTTTGTAAAAATAGTGCTCATGAGATTTATACAATAGGCTATGATTCAAGGACTGAAAAAGATTCACTCAAGAAGTCAAAGGACACATTTCTTTTAGTCCAAGTGCTGTAGATGCCAGTGCATGTCCCAGTTCCCCAGCACGGTATGTTTCACAACCGGGTTGTGGTTTTTTCCAGAGCAGAAGGAACTGTATGTATTTCCCTCCTTGGTTTTCCTCTTTAGCATACCAACATAGCAAGGCACGTTGTGTGGCTGTAACATTTACATGGATTTCACTTCCTCCGGGGAGCTCTCAGGATGCTTGCAACAAGCTCTTAAAATTAGGTTTCTTAAAACACTCCAGAGAGGATTTATTGCCGTTGCTTCACTCTAGTGGCTTGACCTGATCAGCTGAAGCTATGGCTATAGGCAGAAGTTTGTAATTTCCAGAGCCATATATTTAGTTATTTGCTGTACTTCTGAAAGGCGAATTATAGCGGTGGCTGTTGTGATGTGGGTATCTTTATGATCAGCAAGGCTATCAATAATCTGGCCTCCAGCCTCCACTACATTCTGTTCTGCTACTTAAATCAGCTGTGATATCTCAGTACTTCATTACGGAAGGCAAGCAGATATCTACTGCACAGTGTATGCATTCAACTGCTCGTTGCCTGAGACAGATCCACAAAGTGACAGCTTTTTATTCCACTGCCTGTTCATTTCCTTCCCTAGTTTCCAAGTTTGCTGTTTAAAACTGGACTATTTGATCTTGGCAATGGAATAAACAGATAATTTCAGCTATGTTTCTATTCTTGGCTTTTCTTCCTTCTGTTGGATTTTTTTCTAGTTTTGAATGTGGAGAATTTTAAATCATTAAAAATAAGTGGCTCATTGTGAAATAAAATGAAGTAGATAGTGAATTAATAATCTTTTTTTTTTTTTTTTTTTTTTTTTTTTGGAGACTGTGAAGGAATTACTTATTTTTGCTTTTGTTGTTATAAACCTAAACTGGCCTTGGGATTTGCATCATTAGAAGTTTTCAGTGCTATTTTCCCATTAATTGAAAGATTGGGTTTCCACTGGCTGGTGTGGAAGATAAAGTCTTTCTGGTGGTGATACGTTGGGAGTACATGATTATTTTTTTCATTTATTTTCATGGAAACAAAGTCATTAATACTTACAATTCATATCTCTATCTGTTGTACATCAGTCAATCTCAAAGTATTCATATGGAAATATTATAAATTAGAAAATATTACCCTTAAGTATGGTTGAAGAAATCAAAGATGATGTGACATATATAATTGGTTAAACAAGGAAGGTGAAAAATGGATACAGGAAGCAGAAAGATGCAGTGAGGTATGCTCCAGTCAAACACTGATTTTTGCTTGATTTTAATTTAAGTTCAAGCTACTTAGAATGTCATAGTTTTAACCTCAACCTGGATTCATGTCTCCCACCATCAGGAGTCTAAATCATAGTCTAAATCAACACAGAGCCATAGAATCATTTGAGTTAGAAGGGACCTTTAAAGGTCATCTAGTCCAACTCCCCTGCAATGAACAAGGATGCCTACAGCTAGAGCAGGTGCTCAGAGCCCCCTCTGTCCTGATCTTGAATGCCTCCAGGGATGGGGCACCCACTGCCTCCCTGGGTAACCAGTGCGTCAAAGGAATTAAGCTTGGAAACTGGAGTGATAATTATTTCAAGCACTTAACGAATAAAGATGCATGGTAATGGTTTGGCAGATGAGTTCAGATTTTAGGTTTGCAGTTTTGGCAAACTATCTGTTATCTCTTGCTTTCACCAGAAAAAGTGGTAACGTGCATTACTGATACGTGAGCTGTAGCAGTTAACAAAAATTCAAATGTTTTTAGTTGTTTTTTTTTTTCCTTTTATTTCTTCTTTTGTTTGTTTGTTTCTCCAATTGATTTATTTATTCCCCACAACAGGCTCTTCTGAGGCAAGTGGAAATGCAGGCCTTTTGGATCAGCTGGCAGCTCTGAAGTGGGTGCAGCAGAACATTGGTAGCTTTGGGGGAGATCCGAGCCGGGTGTCTGTAGGAGCTGATCGTGGTGGTGCGGACATTGCTAGCATTCACCTGCTGACAGAGGCAATCAATACGGGTCTGTTCAGGAGGATGTTATTGATGGTAAGTCACATTCCTGCTGCTTCAGATTCATTTTGAAACAATTTTGTGACACGTGTGTGGGTGCTGGTTTTATTTCATCCATATCTTTTGCAGTACGAATATAACTGTTTATTGCTGTAGTTATTTTTCTTCTCACCTGTGATTGCTATCTCTAGGAGCTAGGTGTTTCACAAGGATGTACAAGAGATGTAATTTGGCGATTGATTTAGTCATACTAAGAATCTTTTTCTCGTCACTGTGTTTTTTCTGTGTTATATAAATAGTTTTCTTTCATAACTTATAAGGACAACAGGGTTAGTTTCCATTCCATAAATACAGTTATTGATCAGCAGTTTTTAGACTCTAGAAATGATGAGCCAAACATCCGCATGTTTGAAGAATCCGGCCTTTATCTGATCTCGTGACAGCTGAACAATTTCACTTAAAAGAAAATCAAGTTTCAGAGCTTCTGAAATCTGTTTGCTTGTTAGCTTGGATTTTTTTCACTATTTCTCTATTCTTACCGCCCTTCCTATGCTGAATTTCAGGATTTTAGGTCAGTTTTGTCAGCCTCAGTACTACCACTGATCTTCACAGCCTCAAATAAGAGTACTGTGCTGTGAAATGAGGCTTAATCTTCAGTGGACTTTTATATACTTGGAAATGTTAGCAGAGGAACTTAGTCCAGGAAACCTAGGGCCCAATTTATTAAAAACTTGCCTTGAAAATAATGAAGTCTCTATTTGTTACTTGATTTCTCTTCTCTTTTTGCCAGGAAGTATAACTTGCCTTTTGCATCTCCATATCTCAGTAAGACCATTTTAATTGTATAACTCTAGCACAGGAGACAAGGGAAATTGTTGAAAATTACTAGTAGTTCACAAGTTGTATTTTTTTAATGACATTCTCAGATAATTCCTAACACAGATTTGTACTCGTCTTTTGACATAGAAGGTAATTTGCCAGTAGAGTCCTCTTCTCTCACAATACAGTTCCAGCCTACTGTTTCTCTGAAGTCAAACACACTTTTCCGAAACAGGGTAGGATGTGGCCCTGTTGAGAGCTGTAACAGGATACAGTGCAATTTACCAGTTGAGCAACTGATGAAAGGGAAGTGAAAGTGCATCTTGGTTATCACTGTTGGTGGAGTCTGGTTCCATACTGCATTTTTTGGTCTTTTATAAAATGAGTATTGAACTGCTCCTTTCTCTACAGTAGGATATTGAAAGGTAGAAAACAGAGGAAAATCAATGAGCAGTAGATGTGTCAAGTCTTCCCATTGATTCAATGTCTATAACAGCAATTTTCCCAAGACTGTGAAGACTTTACTTTTGCCTCAGCAAAAGCAGGATAATTCATTTATTTCAAAATAGTATTGTGAAATAATTCATACAGTGCCATGGTGGACTTAATTTTAATTTTGTTAAAGCAAAAAATCAACATTAATAGCAGTGGCTCAAAATTCTGCTGCATCTTTTTTTTTTTTTTTTTCTAAAGTAGTTATGCAACATAAAACTTTTGATTTCTTCAGATTTCTCTGATATATCTGCTGTAAAGAAATGTATCTTGTTTTTTCCATAAGATAACAAAATTTTCTAATTCCATTATAAAAAAGGAGTTGCACACAGACAACAAACCATGAAACTGATTATATATAACAGAAATAGATTTCCAGAGGGAAATCTCATTAAGTAATATTATTTTTCTATGGGTGTGCAAAGTGCTTTTGAGTTTTCTCTGTCTGACCTGTAATAGGTTTTGTTTTGAAGCAATTTGAAAACAGACTGTACAAAATCAATGCAAAAACCTGTCAGGGTGACTCTTTTTTATAACTAATTTCATCTTTCAGTAGTATGATATTAAAAATATATTAAATCTTAATGATTAGTGTCCTATTTTAAATCAAATTAAGTGCATTAATACTTTTCAACTTCATCTTTTGATTAATTGAGTTATATACCAGTGCAATTTTATTTAAGAAGAGGCCTGTTGACTTAACTGTAGGACTTTTGCATTTGGAAGCATATTATTGTCTGAAAATAGGGTGAAGCTGCCTGATTCCCCAAAGATCCATCTACTACCAGGCTCCAGTTAACATAATCTTTTCCATTCACATGCTCTCCATTCATAGCTTCTGTCACCCTCTCACGTTATGTGTTACTTACACCCAGCAGTTTCCCATGCCACATGTCATATTTAATCATGTTATTTATAGATACGTTTATGTGTGGCCAGGGCAGAAGCCCAGTAATCTGCCTGTAACTCCAGTTTAGATTGCAGTTGCTGAAGCCATGGAGTGATGCCACCGTGTTTGTAATTGTGATTTAAAAGTGGGTGAGGAGACTAGAGACTTTCTTCTAACTTTCCAACCAGTTGCTGGCTGCAAGATTCCACTGTGTAGCCAGGAGGGTTTGGAATTGTCTGAAGCAGGGGAAAGCTATATGTTTTTGGTGGCTTTTAGAAACAAACTAAGAGTGTACCAGGATTGTGCTAGGTGACGTTAGTCCTTCCTAGAGTAAGGAAGTAGAGAAACTTCTGGGTGCCTTCCATTTCTTTTTAATTATTTCTTAGTATGCAGATGACTTACCTGCTAGGAAAATTCATCCAAATTCCATCCTTCCTGCAACTTTACTCATGTATACCTCAAACCACAGTCTGGAGAGGGAGGTAACAAAAGTGTACTGTCCTAGCATCCTGGAGATTGTTTTTTCCCCAACACTGTCTATCCTGTACAGTGTGATTGTATAAGTGGTCATCATGGAGAAACTGCAAATGTACCACTAGACATATATCTAGGTTGTGCGTGTAACACCAAGGATTACACAATTAATCTACTTACTTCTAGCCAGAAAATCTTGTTAATATCAATGGAGTGCTGTGTCTAGTTTGGGGCCCACAGTATCAGAGAGGTGCTGGAGAGAGTTCAGTTGAAAGGCCACAAAAATGATTAAGGGACTGGAGCATCTCTGCCAAGACAAGACACAATGGGCACAAACTGGAGCACAGGAGGTTCCTTCTGAACACAAGGAAGCACTTCTATGTTGCGTCAGCATCTGAACCCTGGCACAGCTTGCCCAGAGGCTGCGGGCTCTCCTCCTTGGAGATCTCCAAAAGCTACCTGGATGTGGTCCTGGACCCACTGTTCTGGGTGTCCCTGCTTGGGCCAGATGGATGCAGAGGTCCCTGCCAACCTCAGCCATTCTGCAAGTTTGTGTGCCTGTCCTCATCAGGGCATGTCTTAGCCCCTTTCTACAGAGTGGAGACTGAAGTGTTTTCCAGGTTGCATGAACTCTTGGATTTTTTGTTGTGTTGTGTCAAAGATAACATCTAGACGTATCATTGTAAGACTGGGTGCTTGTAATAGTTGTTTGCCAGCTTTTCAATCTCTGAGAGCAATACAAAGTAACTCCTGAGTGTTATTTTAATAAATGCAAGTCATGACTTAGAAATCTGTAATGCTCCCCATATACATTTCACTGGTTACAATACAGTTGCCACAATAACAAATTAATATCACTATATCACTAACAGCAATGATGAGATTATATAAACATCTAGAGTTCCTGAGTTCATTTTGCTTTTTATTCAAAGCTTTTATTCAAGGTTTATCAGCCAAACTACATTCACCTTTAAAGTTCTGAAGTATGTATATGCTATTTTTTTCTCTGACTGTCTCTTTTTCTCTTTCTAGTGCAAATGATCTACTATAAGATCTGTGGAACGCACAGATATGTGCCAAGAGATATTTACAGAGGAAATGCATATAAACTCAATTCCCTCTGTCTCTAAACTCAAATCTGCACCCCACCTCCTCCCTCCCCT